TCTACGATGGATTTTAAACTTTATCAAATGGATGTTAAAAGTGCCTTCCTTAATGGTATCATTCAAGAGGAAGTGTATGTCGAACAACCCCCGGGTTTCGAAGACTATGAGTTTCCCGAACATGTCTTCAAACTCAAAAAGGCACTTTACGGTCTCAAACAAGCACCTCGTGCTTGGTATGAACGGTTAAGCAAATTTCTTTTGGACCATGAGTTCAAACGGGGTCAAGTTGACACTACACTTTTCATCAAGAAAGATAACCAAGACATCCTTTTGGTTCAAGTTTACGTAGATGATATCATATTCGGTGCTACTAACGAGGTTTTGTGCAGGGATTTTTCCGATATGATGCAAAGTGAATTTGAAATGTCAATGATGGGAGAATTAAAGTTCTTCCTTGGGCTGCAAATTAGACACTGCAAAGAAGGAACATTTGTGTGTCAAACGAAATATTGCAGGGAATTGCTTAAAAGATTCGATGTTACCGAATCCAAATCCATTGACACACTAATGAGCACATATTGCTATCTCGACAAGGACGAAAAAGGTAAAGAGGTAGACATCAAACGCTACCGAGGTATGATTGGCTCTTTACTTTATCTTACCGCGAGTAGACCGGATATCATGTACTCCGTTTTAATCTGCGCTAGGTATCAATCTTGTCCTAAAGAGTCGCACTTGGTTGCGATCAAAAGGATAATGCGATATCTCGCGGGCACGTTGAACGTAGGTCTTTGGTATCCCAAAGGTTCGACATGTCATCTTGTTGGCTATTCCGACTCGGATTTTGCAGGTTGCAAACTCGATAGGAAAAGTACCAGCGGTACTTGGCACTTATTCGGTCATTCGTTAATCTCGTGGTTTAGTAAGAAGCAGGTTAGTGTTGCACTCTCCACCACCAAAGCGGAATATGTCGCTGCGGGAAGTTGTTGTGCCCAAATTCTTTGGCTAAAACAACAATTAGTGGATTTCGGCCTTATACTTGATCACATCCCAATTAGGTGTGCAATATGAGTGTTATTAGTCTAATGAAGAACCCCGTTCTTCACTCGCGGACTAAACACATAGAAATTAGGCATCACTTCATACGAGATCATGTCCAAAAGGGAGATGTCACAATTGAATTTGTTGAAACGAAACATCAATTGGCGGACATTTTCACGAAACCTCTTAGTAGGGAGAGTTTCTTCCACATTCGGAACGAACTTGGGATTTTGGATATCTCTATGAATTAATTCATTCTTTTTATTGAGGGTACTAATTTGAGCGTCGGAGGCGCAATAATTCTTTTTTGCAGGGTATATTTTAAGTGTTTCAGGGTAGTTTTCGAAACTGGAACAGAGGGGATCGATCTCCCCAATTGGATCGTTCCACTGGGCTTCTGATTTTTGCAGGTACCAGTCGGCAGATCGATCCACGCAATGGACCGATCACCTGGGCAAACTTCTCAAATCTGAATTCAGCCCAAAAATCGGAGGACCGATCCAATTTTGTGGATCGATCCATAAAGCTGCTTGGTTTCTGGCTTTTATTCGGTAGATCGATCCAAGAACAGGGATCGATCACCTGGACTTAAACGGAGCAGGTACTCTTTTACGGAGGATCGATCTCCTTGGATGGATCGATCACTCTGACTTACGGTATATATATACTCTCCCTTCTTCGTTTTTCCCATTTTTCATCGTCTCTGTTATCTGCTCTGTCTCTCTCTATCGGCGACCAGCTTCAACGATTTCCAGGTTCGATTTCTTCGCCTCTTCTCTTCAATTTCTTGCAAATTACTTGTTAATTGTTGTAAATTGATGATTATTGTTACTTTTTTTTGATCGCTTTCTTGAGATTAAGTGCTTTTTCCTTTCTCTCTTAGGGTTTCTCGTGCTCAAACCCTAGGCACCATGTCGGATCGTCGAGGAAGTAAACGTTTGCGCACAAAATCTCATGAAGGTGAACCATCTACCCAAGAGGAACGATTTGTCTCTTCATTTGTCTTTCCGAGAGGTGTTTCTAAATGCCTCTTCTATAATGACTTCTTGAATCGTCCTATTTTAACACCCAAATGCGTTCTTCATACCGTATTTTGTCATCTACCTTTCCAAGAAGCTACCATTTTCATTGATAGACTTGGTGTTACTTCTTTTGTTCGTGAGAATTTTCCTGTGTTCTGTCCGAATCTAATTCGGTTGTTCTATACAAATCTCACTTTCAACGGACGGGTTCTCAAAACCTCCGTTAATGGCACCGATATTGAGATGACTCTCAAGGATATTGGTGAACTTTTTAAATTTTCTTTTGAGGGTTGTGATTTTCACAAGTTTGCATCTAAGGAATTCAAAAACTTTTCCTCTTATGACACCATTACCGATGTGTGCCTTGAAGAAGTCCTTGGGCGTGAACGCTTAACCGTTGGAGGCCTTAAGCCTCATTTTTGAATTCTTCATTACTTCATTTCGAAAGTATTAGCTCCTCGTAAGTCGAGCCATTCCAAAATACTTATTTCGGACACTCGTCTTCTCTTCGTGTTTTTGAACGATATCAAAATCAATTGGGCAAAATTCTTTTGCAATAACCTTATTCTCATGAAGACAAAAGGGTCTCTTGAGTATGTGTTCCCGATCATGAACATTTTGAAAGCTTTTGGAGTGTCTTTAAAAGACATCCACGTCCAAAAGAACCACACGTGGTACATCGATGTCGCAGCCTTCAACCGCTCTAATGTACCAAGGGTCGTGCAAGAAGAAAGAGGAGAAGAATGAGGAGAAGAAGGAGAAGGAGAAGAAGAGGGTGAAGAAGAACATGACCCGGAGGGCGAACCGGCGAATGTCCAAGAAGTCGCTCAAGTGGAATCGACTCGGCGTTCCTCTCCTACTCGGGTGTCAAGCTCCACTTCATCGCGTCGCGCTGATCGTTCCATCCTTCAACGGATTTTAGACGCGGTGACTTGCACTCGCACGGATGTGGCGCATACTCGTATGGAAGTAGCCATGCAAGGCCATCGTCTCTCACGACTTGAGCAGCGGATGACGGAGATAGAGCGACGCCCATATTTCGGACCGCGTCACAGTTACAGTGGTGGATCCCGGCCGTCGAGCTCACTTTGACCTCTCTCTCTCTCTTTATGTGATGACTTATGATACTTTGTTAAATGGTATTATTTTATAACTTTTTTGGTGGATGATGATGTTCTTTTGAATGATGCTAGTTATTGTTGTTAATTGTTGATGTTAATTATGATTGTGTATTAATATCTTTGTTGGTTTGGCAATATTGTTCTTGTTTAGAACATATTGTCCCTTTGTGGCATTTTTTTTAAAAGAAAACTCTTGCTATTTTTTTACTATCCTTCAAAATCCCGGCATCAATTAAGGGGGAAAGTTATCGGTTGATAATGCCAAAAGAGGGAAGGAAGGATAGTTGAGAAAACTTGGTTTTCAAAATTGTTTTTCCGCTTATTACTCCGATTATTTTTACTGCACTTCTCTAACCTTGCAGGGGGAATCAATTAAGGTAAGTATTTCTTGAATTCTACTTTGTTTTTTCTCAATTATGTCAGTCATTATCAAAAAGGGGGAAATTGTTGGACATGAGTTCAAACCCCTTTATTATTTTCTGGAATATTTTTTGTTTTGATGAATGACAAACAGGATGATTAAATTCAATCGATATTCGAAAATTTATTTTTCGTATCGAGAAAAACAAAGAAGGGTATCAAGAAGTTTACGGCGATAAAAATCGACGATCACCCCTACGCAGATTTTTGAAGTGAAATGAAGACTCCGAAGACTTTTTAATTTTTATTGAGTCTAGGATTCTTGTAAGGATGACAATAATTTTTGCATAAACAAATTAATTTTTTGAGGGATAAAAATTATTATTTCTTGAGTCAGTTGAAAAATTATTTTTTCTCTCTCTAAAAATATTCTTTTGAGTCAGTTTCAAAATAGTGTGTCAAATTTTTTTTATATTATTTAAGGATACACAAATTTTTTGTGGTAAGAAAAATGTACTTTAAAGATTTTTCTTGTACATTGTTTGACACACAAAATATTTTTGGGACTCAATTTCTACACCAAAAATTCATTATTTAATTCAAATTTTGAATTTGAATTAATTCTTTTCAACTCATTTGATTTGTTTGTTTATGGGAGCCTTATCATGTTCAAATTGTTGTCTAAAATAATACATTAAGCTCCAATTGTACTCCCCACTCGCACACATGGTTTGGGTCCTCCTTGTTTGGCCATTGTTCGTTAGTGGATCGATCATCCTTCCTGGATCGATCACCTGTGCAGAGTGATCCGAGCCTGGATCGATCCAAGTGAATGGATCGATCATATATTTTTTCCCAAATTGATTCGTAGGATCGATCCTTGAGCATGGATCGATCCCCTGTAGCCTTGCAAAAATCCGTCCCCTGAATTTTGTTTCCAGAGGATCGATCCCCTGCCATGGATCGATCCCCTGTGCTTTTGACACAAATTTATTTTCGGAAGTTTACTCGAGATGATCGATCTTTTGCCCTGGATCGATCCCCAACGCTCCAATCTGTCAAAATCACCTCTTTCCTACTTCCAACGGATTTATTTCTTTTAACCCTATAAAAACCCTCATCCTCCTTCATCAAACACACATCTCTTGCACTCCAATATCTTCATTGATCAATATTCAATTCTTGCTTCCATCTTCCTCATCAAATATATTATTTTGAGAGTTAGAAATATTTTATTGAGTGCTAAAGATTTTGTCATCCATAGAACTTTAATTCTTCAAACACTACTTTGCTCAATTGTGTGAGCTTTCATTCTTGTGTTGTAAACTCAATCTCATTTGAGTGTTGTTCTTAAGACTTGTGTGACTCAAGTCTTGTTGTTGTAAGAAAGTGAGGCTTGTATGATTCAAGTTCTCAAGTTGTACCGGTTTTTCAAGCACCCGTTGAAGCTTGAAGATTAGTAGGACTTTCGAGAGTCTCTCGGAGGACTGGACTAGCCACGAGGTGGTGAACCAGTATAAATCTCGGTGTTCTTCTTTCCCTTACTCTTTTTATTTATTCCTGCGATTTTATTATTTCACACACGCGAAAAACGCACATTCTTGAAAACAACTCTATTCACCCCCCCTCTAGAGTTGCACATTTGTCTAACATATTGCAATGGTATGCTTGTAGACCACACATTTGAAGAACAACCATTGCATGTCTGCAAAAGAACCCTTTGTATTCAAATAGGAGGCAAGAATAGGAAACCTCTGATTTTGCCTCATTCCATGTCACACTAAAACTGTCATCCTTTTCACAGTCATCAACTCTGACCATTATGTTTTCCCCATTTACACCTTCTGTCCTCGGGTGGCACCCAACAACTTAAAATCAACAAAAGAAGATATTGAGATGGGTTATTGTTAAAAATACAAATATTAACAAAACTGGGTTGACTTCCAAGAAATCTTGATTGGATTGAAAATCCAACACCAGATTATGAAAGAGCATCGCTAATCGCTCACAATCCATCAAAAAATTCAACCAAAATATTCAAAATAGAGTTGAATACAACCCTGGAGTATCTTAGTGACTTCTAGTTTCTTGTCAAAATGTCCAACAGTAGCCAAATCCAATAGAAATTAAACCACCATAGGAGCTCTAAGAATACCATCTAGTCAAACCTGCACTTTGGAAGCCTTCAACATGCTCCTATATAAACAAAAACCCACAAAGTCAAATACTTAGTCTGAATAGCATAAACAATTTACACATGTGGGCTAGGGCCTAATATCAAGTGCTTATACTCATTCTACGCTTTGTAATCTCGAGAGAATCAAAAGGAACATAAAATAAAATACTTCCATAACATATGGAATCCATTCTTTTACATATTTAAAATAAAAACATGTAAACTGTATAATCACACTCAGTCATAAGCTTTAAATTTATCATTCTCAAACACGTAAAAGTTACTAATCTCAATTTGGAGTCAGAGTACTTACCCACGGGATGGATGGATTTAATTTCTCTATCTCAGATTTTCCTTAATCCGTGTTTTCCTCTATCTTGAAGTCTCTCCTTATCCACTTTTCCTCATAATCTATGTTGTCCTGAATAGTCTCATCTGCAATTTTGTTGATAAAACAACAACATTACTCAAGTGGCCCAAAGGTTCCTACCATAGCGGGGTAAGGGAGATCAAATGTATGAAATGTGACCCCAATGTAAAAATATAGAGCTATTGTTTAAAAGAATAAACTAACCCTAAATTTGGATGGTTCAAACTTGAATGAATTGAATGAAACAAACTAAAACGAATACTCCCTCCGTCCATGTAAGATCTTCCCATTTCGCGTTACGAGGCTTGACCGACTTTATTTTCAATTCAATTTAATTCATTATAAGAGTAAAATTTTAAAATAAAATTTATATAGTAATAAACTACATGAAAAGTTCTACAAAACTAGAAGTGACAAAACTATATTATTTTATGAAATGACTAGTAAAAATGAGCAAACAAAGTGATTAAAGTTTGACCCTGTGAATAGTGTCTGGGAAGATCTATGGTGGATAGAGGGAGTACATCTCAAGTGATGAACGGAAAAGAACAACAATCCTAAATTGAACAAAACTGAACTTTGTTTTTTAATTTGTCACAATTTATTAACCTGAATCAAATTCTAAAACAATTAAGAAACATTATAGAAATTTCTTCTATAGGACACAAATTGATAAATACCTGAAACTGCCGAGGACATAAGATAGGTCAAAAAATCAAATCTTCAAATGATGAAACCCTAGATCCGGAAAAGGTTTGCGGCAGACTCCTGCAACAATGATAGCTGGGAGAGTTTGCATCCAAAAAGATAGCCGATACACTATGACTCGGGTGCTAGATATGCATATCTGCAGCGGCTGCCCTCTTTCCCGCAGCGGCGGCTTAGCTTTAGTCGCCTGCTTAGAGATACTCGTCATTATTGTGCAGCTAAAGAGAGAGATGAAGGGTACCTGAGACAATGACGTGAAACCCCTCCCTCGTTATCCTGTCATCTCTGTGCGAAAACCCTCTTTCTCCTCGTTGCCGGATCTATACGATTGTATGTAAGCATAAGGTCGGCCTAGGTCATGTCTTAAGGTGAAGAGAATAAAATGAAAGAGGAAGCTTGTATAGGAATTTCCCAAATTACCCTGCGGACACTGTAGCCAAAAAATAGGTGGGAATACTGTTCACATTTCCATCTTACCATTGTATATGGTAAGATTAGATTTCAGCCAAATAAGTAAAAAATGGCTTACTGTGCTAATTAGCAAAATAAGTTGATAGGAGCTGCCAAATGGAACCTCACTGAAGGAAGTTTAACTAAAACATGCTTACTAAAAAAAAGTACTATGTTTGTCAATGCAGCTTCATAAGTGTTTTCAAAAGCTTTATCAAAAAGCACATTTGAAAAACATCTTTCCCACATGGTAAAGCATTTTCGCTCTTATGGAAGTGATTTTCACCCTTTCCAGAAGTGTATCCAAATAAGCAGTAATATTAGAATCCAAAAACACCTATAAATTATAATAGGTGGTATGGAGTAACTTACAATATATCTTGAAAGACCAGACCAACATGTCTCCTCAAACTATCGAGCTGAATATTTCCAATATCAAACCCATTGACCTGTATGGTACCTGTAATGAAATAAAGAAGCAAACCATTCAAGTTACAGATATAAGAATAAATAATGGATGACATTTCTAGTCCCCTGTCCCAGTAGTTTAAATGTGTTTTGACAGAATTAACCCTGAATTGGGCAGGAGCATTGTTCCTGCTTATTTTTGCTTTGTGTATAGTAAGATAAGATTGGAGAAGCTAGTTATTTAAGAACTCCACATGCGAGAAATAATTAGCTAACGAATTAATGGATAATTATCAGTGGCTGATGAGATAATACACAAATACATGGTACAAATACTCCAAACATCAGGCTTCCATCAAATTGCAAAACACAATAAATAAAGAAATAATTATCTAGAATAAAAAGCCACATAAAATAATATGAATACCAAAACAATAAAGTTAAAAGCAAAGGTATTACTCTTTAATGACAATATTCTTTTAAATCAAGCTGCTACTGTGCCAAGTTCATTATTTGTTGGAAGCTAAAAGTTAAACAGATAGTGCTAAACTATAGAATACTACTCTTCAAAGCTAAAAGCTAAACAAATAGTTAACTTCTTCTGTAATGAAAGTGTACCATAAAAAAAGAACCATTACGTATCATGATTTGTATTTAAAAAATAGTGCTAAAATATTGAATAATAATCTTTAAAACAGTGTGTAATAAAAAAGACATACTTGGTGGCTAGTGGCTATGTATAGCTAACCGGTACAGAAAGCTATTACCTTATCGAGTTACAATTATGCGCCAAAGGTAACATCTTGGATTCTAAAGAAAATTCTGCATAGTTTCATACCAAAGAAGCTTAACATTCTTAATACTCGCACAAAATAAGAGACCAAAAATGTTAAAAAAAGGATATAATATTTGAAAAGAAATTGTGATAAATTAAAAAAGATTGAGAACAAACCTGAATTCTAAAGCTTTTTCATATGCTCTGTGCTTTATTTTCAGTTCGATGATTGTATATTTTACAAGGCAATAATGTAATAGACAAATGGTATAAACAGATATCCTATAAACTATATATGTTCATCCATAGAAGTGAACACCTATTTTTATTAGGTGAGGCATATTCTCAGATCACAATGTAGAATCAAGGGACTGCACCACCCAAGCCTCTCATCCGTTTAGAATCTAGTCACCTTTAAAACAAATTAAAATCTTACTCTCAATATGTATAAATTATAACAAATAAATTAAAATAGAAATAACAAAATTGTCGTATGTTTTACCCGAATCTGTCTCCTCCTTATTTCTAGGGTTGGGTGGAAACTGAAATGCCAGATATTCTTCGCCATGCAATTCTTGGATGCCGTCCTAGCCTGTCACAAAAGCATCGGCTTAGCTTCTCCTCCCCTATGGTGAAGCACGTTTCAATCCTTCAATTCTGATTGCTAAAGGAACCCAGTACTGATTGGAATTTGATGGCGATCGTCAACGGTGAAGCGGCTACGAAAAGAGAAGAAAGAACAGGTGGATCTGATGGAAAACCTTCTCCATACGCTCCCCCTCTCTCTCTCTTGAGATGTGTACGCAGAATCCCTCTTTCTCCAGGCGGCCGGATCTGACGGAAATACCCAGCGCCCAGCGGCTTAGCTTCTCCCATACTCTTTCTCTTTATCCAATGTGCGGTCCAAATCTAGGCTGCTACTGTAGCTTATCAAATGGGCAGAAACACTGTTCCTAAAGTCCTCGTATATATAGAAAGATTATTATCATCATCATCCTAATCATCATGGGCGTGGCTTGAAGATTGGAACATAAAATTGAGTTCAGCCCTTTAAATTTGTTATCTGTGACTTGTGAGTCCTCATTTGTTATGAACCGGATCGGCCCATACACCTAAAATTCAAATATCCGTATAAGCCTGTATTTTTAAAGGTGGGCTATTGACACCGAGCACGCATTCAGGCCCATATTTGGGTCTACTTTCAAGTATCATGAATATTTGTCCAAACTCCAAACAAAAGCTCACCTAGCATGACAGTGAGGCCATTGGTCCATATCGGGCTCATAAATATGGGCCCGTCAATACTTTTAACCTTTACACTATGTTTGGTTTAAAGAATTTAGAAAGAAAAGAAAAAAAATGATTTTTTTTCATTTTCACACCAAAATGAGAGGAATTTGATTTTTCCTCCTCTTAATATATTTTGTCTTCTCATTTCTTTTTCCTTTCACTTTTCTTTTCTTTTCTTCTCTATCCAAACAAGAAAAATCATTTTCCATCTCATTTCCTTTTTTTTCTATTTCAAATTCTTTGAACCAAACACAATGTTAAGGGTCTAAGACGAGAATGAAGAACTGGGTCAAAAAGTCGGAAAAATTTTGAAAACATATTTTCCCAATGTGTAATGCAGTGTCATTACTCATTTTACATTAAAACTATTTTCTCCTATGAAAATTTTCTTATTTCAATTTACATGGTACGAAAGATGTGCCGTAGGAAGTCACTCTAAACTTTTGCATTTAAGAAATTAAGATTTTATAATTGAATAAATACTACACAGATAGGTCTAGAGTTACTTAAAAAATATTATTATTTCTAGAACTCCATTTCATTTATTTTAAAAGTTGGTTTTGAAGTAAAAAAAACTCCCTCCTATCCAAATCAATTGTCTCAGTTTGATTTCATAGTCTTTAAGAAAAATATTTAAAAAGTAAAAAGTAGTTCAAATTTGATCGGAAGAAAGAGGAAGAAAGAGAATGATTGTGAAACACATATTCTTTATTTCATTAATAAAGTAAAAAAGTAAAATAATTATTTTTGGAGACAGACTAAAAAGAAAAATAAGATGATTAATTCGGAACACATTGAGTCTAAAGAGTAGCCCAAGACTTGTGGTCCAACGGCATCACGGTGCTTGGTCAGAAGTTCAAATCCCAATGTGGGAAGTAACTCGATCTATGTTTTTTAATAGATTGAGAATATATATATATGAATAAATATTACTTTGTATTAGAGTTGTTAGTGTTTAAAAAACTATAAGGAGCATTTAAAAGTTACATAAAATGTTTTTAAAATGTGTTGATTAATAATTTAATCTTACGAAGTATTAAATATTACTCCTCCGTCCATAAATGATTTACTTAATTTACTATTCAAAAATTATGGGAACTCTTGTTTATTTGTGTGTTTCATTGAATATTTGATGAAATAAAATATTCTTGTCACCTCTTGGTTTGTAGAACTTTTGATGTAGTTTTTAAATATGTAAGTTTTATTTTTTTATTTATATATCAATTTTTATTTATATACCAATTTATATATATATATAAGTTTTATTTTTTATTTATATACCAATCTTCAGTTTGCGTAAAAAGTAAATGATTTAGGAACGGAAGGAGGATATGAAAACGGCCAATGAAAGAATACATGATTTCATCTTGTGAGTAGTAACTGCAAAAGACTTGTGTAAGATGTAGAATACTAATTTTTGAAGGCATTGTTACTTAAAATTGTGTAGGATGTAGAGAGTAAAGATGAGCAAAAGAACCGGACTAGTTAGACCAGATTAGTCTCTTGAAAAGACCGGTGCTATTTAGGACGAGACCGGTATGGTCTTTTTTAAAAATTGGTCCAGACTAATCCGCTCTTCGTGAAAAAATAGGAACCTTTGGGGATCAGGTAGTTACGTTACGACCGGTCCAAGTCTATATAAAATTCTTTATTTTTGTTCTCCAAAAAAAATAATCATAAAAAAATCATTTTTGATTATTTAATTTTTTTTCTATATTTTATTGATTTATTATAATTATGCAACATGAATATTATTATGTGAGATGGAAGTTGGATAGAATCAATGATAAAATAAATTTTAATATGTATGTTTTACATACATGAGATTTTTTTGTGATCACTTATTTGTAAATTTTTAAAAGTAACTATTTAAGTACTATGCTTTATGTTAATGGGATAAACATATTTAAGTAAAATTAAATTTAAAGTACAAATATACATTAATAAAAATTATATTTCAAATACATAAGATCTCTAGTCCTAATCGAGTTCCGATCTAATCTTTCGAAAATGACTACCCGGTTCGTGACCGGTCTAGTCTTTCATAAAAAATTAAGGATCAAATGAGACTACCAGTCCAAGACTGGACCGGTCTCAAGAACCGCTTCGGTCCCATCTTTTCTAGTCCTAATCCTGATTCTTCTGGCCAATATTTTCAATTTTAGGGGATGTATTCAATCACAACTTTAATGGATTTTTTTGGATTCTTAAAGTCTGTAGGTATTCAATTCAGATTTCAAATTGTCGTTTAAAATCCGGGTGTATTCAAACCAGATTTTAAAAAATCCTTCTAAATATGACTGTATTAAAAAGTTGATAGATTTTTAAAGATTTCTAAAATAGTGGATTTTGATGGAATTTTAAGTCTGGGATATAAATACGAATCAATTCCCAAATCTCACCTAATAGTTAAAGATTTTGAAAGCTCTTCACCAACTCTTGCATTCTCTCTGTCTTCTTCTCTGGCTGGTGCGGCAAGGCAGTAATCCAATCAGACGAAGGGGCAACTGGGCAAGTAATACTCTGTGACCACCGAACAACGACCATGGGGGCGGCGAAATTGACTTGCAGTGGCGGAGGAGCACGGAGACGGTCCGGGCGTCGAGGCGGAGGTTGACGGAGTTGAGGACGGCTCCGGCCATGGGGGCGGCAAAATTGAGCTCGTACATAGCAGGGATGTTGGGCGCGAGAACAGAGACCACCTGACCTCGGCGGATTCCGAGGGAGGCGATGGAAGAAGCGAGGCGGGGGCACCAGAGATGGGTGGCGGACCAGGTGTAGACGGCGGAGTTGTAGATAAGGGAGGTGGATCGCCGTAGATGCTGGCGGTTCTCTCGAAGAAGGTGAGAGGGGTTAGTGGGCTGGAATTTGGTGGGCTTGGTTTAAGCTGATCCATGGCTTATTCTTCTTCTTTTTTGTCCTCAAGTACTTATTATTAAAATTCTATGGAGTATAAACAATCAGACAAAATCCTATAAAATTCTGCTGATAAAATACATAAAAATCTACCAAACTCTGCAGAGACTTTAAACAATCTATAGATTTTACATAATTCATAGACTTTAAACAATCTATTAGAATCTTTCAGAATCGTGATTGAATACACCACCATTAATCGTTATGCTCATCACTAGTAGAGAGTACTAAAATGAGTGGTGTGAAACCTAATGTACAATTTCTTCAATTCTTTAAAACTTAAAATTTGTATTAGCTGGAAATTCTGCTCCCTTCATCTCATTTTACATCACGTTATTTGGGTGTTTTTTTATTCATTCCAAATTACTCTACAATCTTTAAACAATTTTTAAGGCCCATCTGATACACGGAATTGACAGAATTAGAATTGTAATTATATAGAATTAAATTGGATAGAATTAAATATTCCAATTCTAATTCATTTTTGCCTTACCAATTCCAAATCTATATATTTTTGTGCTACCAAACAACAGAATTGGAATTAAAGTCCTCAATTCTAATTCCATCGCTTGAATTCCGTGTACAAACGAAGTTAATGGAAAACAATATGTGGTCTATTTTGTTTCTTTTTCTTCTTCATAAATATTAAAAACACGGTTTTGTAGTCCAATGACACCACTGTTACTCTCTCAAATAAGAGATCATGTGTTCGATCTCCCGTGGGACAATAACTCTATGAACTTCAGTAATAACATGTTAATCTTAAAAAAACATGGTTTTTAATTTATTAAAAAATATATATAATCAAACTAGGTAATGTAAAATGAGACAATAGTTTTACCTGGCAATAAGTTCCACTTTAACTACATTTTGTTGTTATTGGCACTCGAAAATGCATTATTTAATTATCTCTCACGTGTATAGTGCATTTTGGAATACCAATAGGAAAAAAGAGAAAGAGAGATGGGTTAGATACATGGGCTAGCTCTTGTTTCAGTCGCTGGTTGGGGGGTTAAGATTTGACGGGTATTGACCTTTGAGGATTAATTCACTTTCGGGTATCAGATGGGCTACCATCTCAGAGGCTATATTTAATTTTGTGGGGTTGCTGTGTTGTTTGTTTGTTGTTAGCCATTTGCACACGGCCCCAACTCCCCACAGTCTTTCCGTGTCACTCTGAAGAACACAAACAATATGGCAAGTTTGCAATGGAGTGTCACACATTCATGTGGCACTCTCTAACCAATCAGAATTAATCGTGTAAAAGTAGATTGGGAGGAGTGGAGATAATGGCAGTGTGGGTTGATAAGACGTAGAGATTCTTTTCTTAGTCTCATCTGATTAATTCTGATTTGCTTTTAGAAGCAATGTGCTTAATCTCATCTCTTTGTAATTATATTTAAAGTTGTATCTAATCTGAGTTGATTTCAATAAGAATAAGTAATAAGAATAAGAGTAAATTTTTAATTAGTTCTGTATAAAAGGGGATTTTCCATATCTAATCATCTATTATCGCATATTACGCCCGTAGTTTTTCTTTTATAGATACTTTTCCAAAAATAATCATTTTTTGATCTTCTGTCATGTTGATGTTAATTTGATGGTTAAAAATGTAATTTGACATTGATCATGTATCTTTCTTTTCATACACAATTTCAGAGGTCCCTCTTGATGCTTTGTTTGCAAATCGCAATTGTTGTTTACTACAACCATGGTCTACAGGTATGATCTTTCGTCATAATTATTACAATCATAGCCATAATTATTGTGTTGTTTGTCTAAGTGATATCAGAATACGTTACTGGACATAGAATTAAAGAAAAAAATAAAGAAAAAGAAGAAAAAGGGGGGTGGCTGCAGAGGCAGCGTGTGAGGAGGAAGAAGGAAAAAAGTAAAGGAAAAGAAATGAAGAAAAAAGAAGAAAAAAAGAAAAGAAATGGTGAGTTGGAAGCCTAATCAGCCTTATGTAAGCAAAATGACTGACTAAGACAGCGTGCCGTTCAACATATTTTTTCTACTTATTACTTATTCTTATTATAATCAGATCAGACCAGATCAGATCTTCAGAAAATCTGATCAGATCAGGCGAACGAAACGCAACCTCAAAACTGAAAACCCACTAACCTATTTTTATCAAAAGGTTTGGTAAAGTTGGGGTATTTATTTGATAAGATTTGAAATTTAGGTACTAATTTGACAAGTTTGCCTAAATTTAGCTAATGAAACTTACCCGAGTAATTTTCCATTTTTCCCAACGTCTAAATGATAAATGGACCATGACCCATATATCTTTTTTGGTTCTTTGTTACATGAAATCTCTAATTCATTGAACATTTTTTGTACGGAGTAACATTGAACAATTATGAGGTTTCATATGCTACTAGGAGTGTGTGACTGAGACATACAAACATTTCAAATCTTTCTCCCCCATCCAATTTCACTGCGTTACATTTCTCCCGCGGTATAACTTTCACAAAGCCACGTTTTCGCGCCACATTAACGCAAAAGTGATGCACATTTTTTACTAATTCCAATTCAAAATAGAAAAAAATACGATTCACGTCGAGGTAAAAATGGCTCCCTTAGAATGTCAAAAGAAGCAGAGAAGAATTAGAATATGACCAAGAAGCCCTAATAATGCATAACCATGGAAGTGTTCAACAAGTAAGCACTAATAAACATGAATCAAACATACTTACTCCCATAAATACACTATACACACGAAAAGCGCGACTAAACTGTATTTCTATAAACCTTACGCGTTCATTCCCAAAGGTTTCCGTCCATCTCATTATTATAATACTAGACTAGAACAATAGCCCAGAAACACTAGGGACGCACCACTTAAACGATCACATAATTTCATTGAGAATTGTATGATGGCCATTGTGCTCTCTTGTGTCCCGGGAGCTAAACTCGCCCTTTAATGTGCTAGTGAAATCCTGAAACAGTTATATAGAGTTGGCAATCTTATCAAGTGATGGTAAAATGACCAATGCACCCTTAAAATGTCATTCAAGGGGTAATTGTGGAAAGCAACTTAGCATCGTTCAAGATTATAGGACAAAGTATTGTAAATATCCCCGTACTATCTAAAAATGTGCGAATTAGTCTTCGTACACAAAATTGAAGCAATTTTATCCATGTATGATTCATTTTTTTAATATATGCCCCTTCTGTTTACTTTTGTGAGCTTTGTCCTAACATACTGCCTCGAACTTTTAGCAACGATGTGTCATTTTGCTTATTTATTTTATTTTATGAAAAAATATAGGGATAAAATTACTTACTGTATAATAACAAAAGTGTACATTACATAAAGAGTGAAGTGTGAACCAACATGTCACGATGACATTTTCCATGTGCCTAAAGTGAAATTATGTGTCATCCAAGGAGTTCGGGGTGGTAGGTAAGGGTAAAACGTAAAAGTAAATAGAATGACTAGATTGAATTTAAAAAATACTGTAGTAAAGTAACTAAATTGCTTCAATTTTGAGCATAAGGACTAATTTGCACATTTTTAGATAGTAGATACTTTGTCCGAAGATTATATTGAAGGAGAATGGACTCACTTAAGCTCTTGGATAGCGTGAACGTCCCTTCTTCTTCAAAAACTCGGGGATCTCTACTGAACCACCCTCCATGAATGAAGCAGGCCGGCGGTTAATTCCAATGGAGGCATCCCCTGGTGCTAGCTGACTTGCCTANAAAAGTAAATAGAATGACTAGATTGAATTTAAAAAATACTGTAGTAAAGTAACTAAATTGCTTCAATTTTGAGCATAAGGACTAATTTGCACATTTTTAGATAGTAGATACTTTGTCCGAAGATTATATTGAAGGAGAATGGACTCACTTAAGCTCTTGGATAGCGTGAACGTCCCTTCTTCTTCAAAAACTCGGGGATCTCTACTGAACCACCCTCCATGAATGAAGCAGGCCGGCGGTTAATTCCAATGGAGGCATCCCCTGGTGCTAGCTGACTTGCCTACATTTTCAGTACAGGCATATAAAGTGAAAGCGATTTTTTTTTTTTTTTTGTATTTGTATTTGGTGCCATGGTTGACAAAAACATGAAGCAAAGAGTAGGGGAAACAAGAACCTGCCCAACCGGCTTATCATCACCTTCTTGCCGTTTGAATCCGGTGGCAATTAGAGTTATGCTTACCTAGGAGACAAAAGCAATGATAAAAAGAATGAATCATGGCCAGTTTTTCTTTACTGCTCACTCAACAAAGCATGTCTTAGTGCATTAATGGGAAATGAGACACCGTTGGATTGAGAGATAACTTCATTGTGACAAGGGAATACCTGACCACTTATTGAGGGATCAACCACTGCTCCGAAAATTAAGTTGGCACTTGGGTCAACAAGGTCGTATATGACCTCTGCCGCAGCATTTACCTAATAAGACAGCATTATAAGAAAGTGATCATGTGATTCAAAAAGACAATTCACTACCCTGAAATGTCCTAATTCATTATTGTAGCTTCAAGAATCCAACTAATAAACCAAGCACCTTAATTTGATGTGGTAAATGAGGCATCCTACACTTGAAGTGTGTATGGCACTTTGGTGTGGGAAATGAGGGTAAAGATAACAATAGGGCTGAGAATATTGTTTTCACCATCTTAAGATTGGTAGGGAAATTTATTTTTTCTGCTTGGGGTTTTCTTTTGATTTTTTTTCTTGTTTTTTGGGGTGGGGAAGGAGGTTGAGGGATTAACCCCTTCATCCCATAGGATAATTTACCCCCTCTAAATGGGAACAAAACGAGGGCAAACATTTTTTTTTGCGCAAAAGAAGAATTTTGTTGATAAAAGAAAAAGAGAGAAAATACAGCACAACGTCACATGAAAACAGCTCAAAATACCAACCCTGAAAAGCGAACTAAAAATTCAAAAAGAAGCCCAAAAGCCCCAACCCTATCCGGATTCCATTAGCCCCAAGTATTTTGTCGTATTGGCTAAACAGGACTTGCAAAAAGACAATATCTTCCTTGAGTAAAAGAAATAAGCCAGAGCATAATGCTCTTTGAGAATTTCAGGCCTTTGGACAATCCTCGGTTGAATAGGTATTAAAAATGTGGTATTTCCACCCAGGTAGGTGGTTGACATATTCAAATGTTATTATGGCTGGCCTAGAGAGTTTAGATGCAGATTTTGATTTCCAATGATTACTCTTTCCCACATTAACTTGGAACACCTTGTTTTTGAACCAAAATGCAAGCATATATGCTTCACCAACAGAAACCAAATGTAGCAGAATACAACTCGAAAGAAAAAAATAGCCTGAACAGCAAACCCAAAGCCTAAATTGTCACTCTAGACATATTTGAACACCTTAAAGAATGTAAAAGAAACTCGTCATTATCCATTAATATTTCATCAAAAAGCTCTACGTAATGGGCAGGTGGTCAAATGTTTCTTTAAAACATCAACACACAACACATAGAATGGAGGTGCACTGGAGCTCCTCCAATCAAATACACTGTGGGGCTAGCATCTCTATTTTCCTTGACAACTATGTTCATAAAATGCAAGTAAAGGTGGGAAAATGACAGACCCATCTGCTTCTTTCACAAGTAATAATGGCAAAGGCTTTGCATGGATCATTAGAAACTTTCAACCGAAATGCTTCATCGCATCTCAAGGCCATCCCCTAATGGCAGAGGCTTTGCAGGGATTATTCTCCTGGCTTGTGCACATGTACTTGCTGGACAATGACATGCATTGAAACAGTATTCCAAGTTTCATTTTCTTATTTCTTTTAGTTGTGCCTTTTTGTGTGTGTCGGGGGTGGGGGGCTTCCTCATTTGTCCTTAGGTAATTCTATTTTTCTGTTAAGCACCGGCACATCATCTTGAATATAGTGGAGTTTAGCCGCCGTGGCTACATGATGAAGACAAAGGTTTGTTTTATCAAACCTTTGATCTGTTAGATCCTAAATTTATTCTCAAAAATTTGGTAATGCATGTCAAGTAAGCCAATATGCAAGATTCAGGCTGCCAAAGCTTTCAAACAATTGCACCATCAGTAAATTGTGTCGTCTTGTTTCGTGTGTACAATGAATGCAAATGTTCAGTTCATAACATGCCTTCAAATGAAATATACTGCATCAGAAAAGGCGTGGAAGGGATAGAAGTACCTCAAACAACGTTAAGTCAGTGCCACCAGTAATATTCCACACAATTCCAGTAGCCCTCTCAATACCAATATCTAACAATGGTGACTGAATGGCATTTAATGCAGCATCTCTCGCTCTGGTCTTCCCTGTGTATCAACAAGACTATAATGTCACCTTTTTGCTTAATTGTAGCTGTCATCAGAACTCGATTTAGAATAATACTCCGCAATAGAAAGAACATATTTTGATGATTGTAAAAACTTCAAATCTAAATGAAGAAAGTTCAAAATTCAAATTATTAAAAAGTAAGATAAAAGCAGTGTGTCAGCAATAGCTAACATTCTCCTGCTAAAATGAACCGGGGTATCAGAGCTTCAAGAACATACCAGTTGCAGTTCCTATCCCCATTAAAGAGGAACCAGCATTTTCCATTATAGCACGTACATCAGCAAAATCTACATTTACTAATCCCGGGATCTGCAATTTTGGAGCTCAATAGGATTCATAATAAATTGAAGTTCAACTACGGAGTATATAAAAGCCAGGTGTATTGGAAAAGAAAATCTATTAACTTACCAAAAAGATGCATAAAAAGTTCTAACAAAGCAATAGTAACCATAAGTGTAAAAACACACAAACATGTTTAGTTCAGATTCATACCAAACCGAAGCAAACAAACCCAGTATATCTCTCTTGAGAGTTTACATAGGCCATATAGGCATATAGCTCTCCTCCAAGGAATCGAGAGGTTGTTTCCAAGAGGACCCTGACAAACCATGACTGTAGTGTAAAAAGTGGTAAAAATAACACACACACACACACACAGAGGCATCTGCAACACTCGCATTGCCCCTAAATGGACTATACAGCCCTAATATGTCATATCAAAAAACTCTTATCAGAGGAGAACTGCAGGACTGTCAAGCCTTACCTCAAGTGCTCATACCATATCATGTGTGGCCCGCCTCTTCTCTTGGTCCCCTCTATGAAAACACTTTCTACTCTTCACTGATGTCATCTCATCTCGTTATCATGTCCAAAAAGGTAAGAGCACAAATCCACCGTAATATCCTTATATCCACAACTTCAGCTCACACTCAAAGGCCTTGTTAAATGTTTAACACTCAGACTCATACATCGTAGCTGGTCCAATGGGACCTTATTACATAACACCCTAGAGGCGACCCTCCATTTTAAATTATCATGCCTTGATACGGTACAGTCATCTTCGATCTCTCCCTCCATTTGGATGATAGGTCGCAAATACCTGAGGTTGTCCTATTCTTGTATCCTATGATCCCCAATGCTTACCACAACATCCTCCTCATTTTTCTTCACAGTAAATCTCCACAAGAGGCACCCACTCTTAGAGTGGCTAATATGCAAGTCATGTGCTTCCACTGTCGAACTCCATTGTTTAAGCTTCATGTTTACCCCCTCCCTCGTCACAAGTCTCCACTGCAAGCGCAATGTTGTCTACAAATAGTAAAAACCACAAGATCCTTTCTCAGATCTCTTGGAAGTAACTTTAAAATCATGACAAAGAGAATTCAATGCAGATCCTTGGTGTAACCTAACTTTTAACTGGGGAGAATTTGTACCCCCTGCAGGAGTCTTCGCCTACATTCTAACCCACACCTACATAATTTGTATTGCCTTCACATATTACTGAGGCACCCCTCCATATCCAAACTCCGTCAAATAACTTCTCGAGGAACACTGCCACAGGCATTCTCCAGGTCTATTAATACCATAGGCATGTCCTTGCAAGGCTCTCTATGCTTCAGGATGAGGCACCTTAGAGAGTGTGAATTGCATTAAACGTAGACCTTCCCAGCATGAAACGAAACCGGTTCTCACTCACCTCTGTCACTCATCACGCCGGGGACTCCATCAATCACAACTTAAGTTTCATAGTGTGGTTCTGTAACTAAATGTCGTGGTAATTACCGTGATACTAGGTGTCACGCTTATTCATATATGTGTGTGTGTGTGTGTATGTATATATACATATATATGTATGTATGTATGTGTGTGTGTGTATGTATGTATGTATGTATATATATATATATATATAGTGTCATCATCATGCTACGCCTCCACTCCTAAGACATATTGGGAGTATTGAGGATGATGTTAAAAAGATCCGTCAACCATTGCACTCCTTCCTTCCCCAAGCACCACCACACCTTGATGGGAGTCTAATCTGGACCTGCGACCTTATCCCTTCCTGCCCGCTTTAGTACTACCCCCNNCTCCACTCCTTGATGATATGTAACAAGCGGTGCTGCTCTCCTACTCCCTCATATACAAATTCCCTCTTCCTAGCCCCATTAGACAACTTACAAAAATTACTACCGCACCTCTTTTAATTGTCCTTATCTTTAAACAAAACCCACTCCACCTTGTCTTTAACCAAAACCCACTCAACCTTGTCCTTGATGTACCTAACAGTTCCTAAGTCTCGACAACACTTCTCCCAAACTTTTGTTAGTCTATAAATATAACTTCCCTTCATTGATTTCTAAGTGCTTGTGCATCCCAAAAGAACAAGAAACATTATGATTGCTAAACTCAAGAGCACCGAAGTATGTTGTTTCCCTTCCACCTTCGTAAGAAAATTATTTCCCGTGTCTTTCATTTCTCCTTTGACCAAACAATCCCAAGCATAGATTTGAATGGTTCTGAGTTTTTGGGCAATTAATGTAAGCTGTATTTATGTCAGCCACTTCAAATCAGACTGTCAGTCTACCATGCAATATGCACTAAATTTCTTTTTTTTTGTTCATATAGTCTTATGAAAGCATCTTATAAAAGAATCATTGATTATGTGGTCTAAAACTTTACTCAGTTACTTCATTGCTCAGATTGTGAGTGGGATTCAAGTCAAGGATTCATGCATATATTTGAAAAGTGTTGTGATTTTGGAGGAATAATTACTCATGCATTTCCGTGCCAGCCACTCCAAATGACACCACTATACTAACCCACATTGTGCATTAAGTTTCATTTTTGTGTTATGATAGTTTGACTCAAACCGCAGCTTCTTTCAGGAATCATCATTGATGAATTGGTATACAATTACTCAGATTGAATGGGAATGTGGGATTGTAAATCGGAAATTCTTTGGGTATTAGGAGTAACTTGGTGGTTCCCCTCCTCCAACTCCCCCACCAAGGTTTGAAACCCCACCCACCAAAAAAAATAAATTTCTTTGGGAGTTCTGGGGGAAGATTCCATCATCTCCGATGGAGCCAAAATCTCACCTGTTTTTGGCTTTGGGGTGTGATGGAATAAATCAAAATGGATATCTAAACTATTTGCGCTTCTTTAATTAATGAAGTAGCAGTTAGTCAAGCAATGCAGCTTTCGACGTTGAGCCGGGGGTCTCTTTGGAAACAGCCTCTCTACTTTCGAGTAGGGGCAAGGTCTGCGTACACACACCCTCCCCAGACCCTACTCTTGTGGGATTTAACTAGGTTGTTGTTGTTGTTGTTGTTGGGAGTTCTGGGGGAAGAAATGGCCTTCAATTGTGTTAAGAAGGTCCGAACAGAAACACTTCAATGGCTTCAAACGCTCATTATTTTTTATATAGTTACCCCTCAAAGATTATTAAAAAATATTTTCATATACTAAAATCAAGAAGAAAATGTTTTCCATAATGTGAAGGATCAGTCTGGCCTCTATAGCTTCCAACTAGGGGCTAACTTTGTTACTGTGGCAAATTAGACATATAAATAACAATATCCCCATAACTATTTCCCTGATATTAACAACAATAACAATATTAGTGAAAAACAAAACCCTGCTAAGCCTGGAAATTCATAGCAATGCACTCAGTTTCAAGAATGGAAGATCTAGCCAAAATTGGTGATTCAGATGATAACATTCCAACACCCATACCGTTATTATATCAGAGATGCCACGAACACCTTGACGTAGAATGTCATCAGCCAGGTTAAATGCTTCTGTTACAGGGGTAGATGGGGAAACAGCTGTTAACAACTTGTCATTTGGGATAACAATCAGAGTATCAACATTTTCCCTTAAAGAAGCTATTCCTTCTTGAGCTTGAACTGCTCTTCTTCTCCCTTCAAATGAGAAGGGGGTTGTGACGATTCCAACAGTCAATATCCCCATTGACTTTGCCGTTCCTGCTATTACAGGAGCTGCACCAGTCCCTGTTCCACCACCCATTCCAGCCTGCATACAATAGTTAGTTAAGGTGCCGTATGAGAGACATGGATGAAAAAAGAGACAAGTTTGGAAGTTCAAGTTCCCAATGGGACCATTATCTGAACAATTAATGTCTCAGACTTTTCCTCAAAAAATGTCTCTGACTTAGACCTACCACTTATTTCACCAGATTGGCTCACTTTGGAGTTTGGAAGGGTAGAAGTACATGCATCATGCATGTCAAAGAAAAAATAAAAAATTTCTAAACAGTACCCGGACCTGCATGTCTGTGTATGTTCTTTCAAAGAGCATCTATCAAACACATTGTATTGAGTTCAAACGAGTACAAAGAGGACATGGTAATGCCAGATCTAAATAAACTTATGGCCATCTTTAATTAACTGTGAAAGGGATATACATATGATACGAATTACTAAAGCGAGTATCAACAAATTGTTTGATAGGTTTTACTATACTTGTAGGCCCTTGCATGAATTTCATTGCCGCCCTGACATGAATAGTTCAAAATTTCAAATCTTTAGGATAGCTGAATGGATGGCTAATTCAACAAGAGATTACTTTAAGAAAATATCGATAAATGGAGTCCTTTAAAAAGATGATTCTTACAATTATCTTGGCCTGAAAGCCCATTTTCTATGCTTATTATTTGTCCTATCTTATAATTTGAGAAGGTCAAGTAAAAAATATGTCTGGCCAAATAAGCAATATACGGAGTAACTTTTAGTTAATGTATACACTCTACAGACACAGACCTCAGAGACCATGCATAATAAAGATAATTAAACCGTATTAGTATCATCCAGATATTTCTTAAACCGGCACTCAAAGACAGTTAGCAGGGACTATATGGTTAAAATGTTAAATATAATGCTTATCTATTAAAAAGTTTCAAATATAGAGGTGCGACTTACGGTAACAAAGACCATATCAGCACCGTAAACTGCTTCCTCAATGGCCTCCTTACTTTCCTTGGCAGCATTCATTCCAATGTCCGGGTTCCCACCAGCTCCAAGTCCTCTAGTGAGCTCCTGGCCAATTTGCAACCGATGCTCAGAAAACACAGGCGACATCCTCATAGCTTGTATATCGGTGTTAACAATCCAGAACTCCACCCCGTTCATGGAGCTTTCTATCATCCGATTGACTGCATTTGACCCGCCACCACCAACTCCCACAACCTTGATCTTAGCCTCATTGTAATTACTCACGTTTGACAAATCTTTTAAGCTCTCTGTGACATTTTCAATCCCATTTTCCTGTCTCGGGGTCGCTATTTTATTGTTCCCTTCACCTCGAAGCATTGAAATCTCAGGATGCAGGTTCAGAAATGGGTCTTTACTCTGATACTGGTTCGCACTGCGGGCATTGGGTGAACTATTCAAATTGGCAGAACACTTAAACAATGACCAATTCAAACAGCTCTTTCTACAAGCACCCAAACTCAAAGACCCATTCTTTTCATTGAACCTTTTCACAGGGCTATCTCTCCCTCCAAGAACAGTCACTCCCCCCCTTCGGCACCAAGTATCAGAGGTTATAGAGCATGTTGAAGTACAAGCAGCCATTCCAGACGAAACCCCAAACCTTAGACTTTATATTACGGAGTATAGTAATAATAACAATGTTCAGGCAAATGCGCAGGGACCCTTGTATTTCTAAGATTTGTTGTCCAAAATTTTGAATTCTCCTTCGGCACCTGATAATGAAAAAGGGTAGAAAACCCACACGGCACACAGAGTAATAAGTGACTAGTTTCAATATGAATCTCGAAGAATGCGACTGAAAAACTTCCTAACTGCAGAAAAATGTAGCAGAAAGCCAGACTTAAGGGGAAAAAATGGAAGAGTAAACCTAGAACATGTACATAGAAATGAGATGGGGGGGCACCTGGATAATTAGAGATTGAGTTTCTTGTCACGTTTAGGGCCTTTGGGAGATTTGGGAACGATAACAACAATTTTGGTTTTGAAGCATAAGCAGCAATGGAGATTGGGGATGAGTGCGTTTTGGTAGCTAACCAGTAACCACAGTGGAGACTGGAAAACAAGGGTTGTGCCTCCCTACCTTAACCTACCTCCAACTAAACACAGCCTAAGTTGGATTAAGGCTACTTTCCATTGCCTGATCTCATCTGTTTTTTTAAAATCTGATAATCTGATATGGTCTTGTCTTATATGATTTGGTGTGATCTCATCTAATTACAATTATAATTAAATTTGTTTCTTATCTGATCCGGTATCATCTGATGTGATCTAGTTTGATCTGATGTGATTATAATAAAACTAAGTACTGTAATAAACAGAAAAAAATAAATTGAACAGAACGCTGCCTAAGTCTATTCAATTTAGGAACTGAATCATTTGGGAAATTCACCACAATGATTTGAGCGGTATGAAGCTCATTCCCTAAGAATCATCGAGGAAATTCACATGTCCTTGTGAATAGGGGTGTTCATCGGTCCAAGACCGGACCGAATCGGACAGAAGACCAGACCTAAAGTTATTCGTGTTTGGACCGGGCTGGGCCGAAATACTTAGAATACAAATAGGAAAAAAACAGACAACCTAAAAATAGATACACAACATGGACTACTTCTATGTAGAATAATAATAACTAATGCGAAACTTTTTTTGACCTTTTTTTTAAAATTTCTTAACAAAAAACTATTTTAATTAAATAAATTAAAATATCTATTTAAGTAAAGCATCAAAGTGTATCCCAAAGCTTAAAAAGTAGAGTTTACGTATTTGGGTCCAATAGCGTTTTTATGTCTATTCGGTCCAATCGGTCCGGACCTAAATCATTTTGGGTTTGGACCGGATCGGACCAAAACTCAAACTCTTAAATTTTTTGGACCGAAGACCGGCCCAAAACCCATTCGGTCTGGGTTTGGTCTGGACCGAACGATTCAGTTTGGTCGGTTTTTTCGATCTAGACCTAAACATGAACTGCCCTTGATGGTGTAAATTATCGACCGGTATATCGTTTTTAGCCGGGAAAAAAAACGATAAACTAGTCTAACAAATACACCAGAAAATAAAAACAAGGATTTTGACGTGAAAACCCAAATCGGGAGAAAACCACATGCCTTTTTGGTGGTACCTTGCCAACGAGAGATTTTTAATAATATCGAGGGTGGATACACGGTACATGATTTATGCTTAGAAACTATTAATGGACATTTTAGTTCTTGAAGAAGAAGAAAATATACTACACATATTCTAGAGAGAGAGAGAAAAGTGGGCAAGGAGAGGGAGTAAATTGAGTGAGCCCCCCCCCCCCCACCCTCTCGGTGAAGTAATGCTTCTTTTATAGGAGTAGCAGCCAGCAGGAACATCTACGGGAGAATGTTCTCTTATTCCTCCATTTTATTAAACATTTTCGTAAATAATTGGAAAATGTTGGTCGAGCCACGTATTATTTTCCATCTGCCATATTTACGAATGCAAAGGCGATAGCTCTTGCGTCATTAGATGGAGATAATAGTGAACATAAAATACCATGTAGTAGAGTCAATAGCATTCAAAAAAATGATTTTAGAATATTTAATTTAAGTTAAAATGTTTATCAAAATATAATGATATTAAACAATTCAAAGATTTAGAAAGATTTTTATAATGAAGAGATTTTGATAGATTTTAATACTCTGTATTATTATTTTTTCTAACAAATCCATGGCCATACAAAAAAAACACATCTTTAGCAATCACTATAGTATCCTTGAATTGTGCTCTGATTCTTCCAATCCGCCATTATGTTAGATTTTTCATAGTCTATGGATAATATTAGATTTATGGATTATTTTAATTCTACATAAATTTCGATAAATGCACTGTATTGTCAAAATTTGTTAGGGTTTATTTTGATTTTTAAAAGTCAAAGGATTATTCCAAAGCCAAGTAGCGGAAAAAGCTTTCCCCCACTGCCGTCGTAAAACAGCAAAGGAGAGAACAACAACGAAAGATCCAAAGTAAAGCAAGGAAGGAGAGAACAAAAACGAAGTAGAGAATGGAAGCAAAATACTTCGCTTCTATCTCGAGTAAGCCTTTGTTTTGATGAAAAAAGAAAATAAAGAGAAAGAAAATGGGGTGGAGAGAAAGTGAAAAAGAAAATAGGTAGTGGATCCCTATAGTTGTACTGGTATGGGGGGACATGATGTTCCTCCACGTAGCCCGGTATGACAATTAGTAACCCTTCGGCAGGAGGTTACGAAGCTCGTGGACTTGAGCTTTCTGCATGGTTGACTGGAGCTCTTGGAGCAACAGGTCATCCAACAAGATATAGCCCCCATCCACAGAACGGGCTACAGTAACCACCTGAGCCGCGGACGAAGAAGGGGCAGAGGTGGCGGCGTCCACCGGCTTCTCCTAGTTAAGAGAAGCCGGGCGCTGACTGGGCTCAGAAGAATAAGGGGATGAATGGGTACTGGAGGCCTGAGACCGGGCGCTAGAACCTTAAGAATGAATGGAAACATTCTGGATGTCCTCGTTCTCAGACATGATGGAACGAAGTGAAGAGAAGTGGAAGAAAACTTAGTTGGAACTAGGAAGGTTTGGAGGACTCAAGAAACAGTTGATTCGACCAGGCAGTTTTTTAGATAGCAAGTTGCCAAGTTGCAAGTGAAGAAATTTGGTGGGGAACCTCACCTTATATAGGGGAATGTGGCGCCTAGCAGAGCCAATAAGGAAACAACACGTGGCGGCCAGAATGATTAGTAATGATAACTCTCTGGAAGGGGAACCAACGCGACAACTCGGCGGCACCGTACTGGATTTCCATAAAGCTTTTCCCGCCATCCGCACCCGGGATTTCAAAATTCAAAAATATTCAGCGCCAGTTTCTAGAAAATTTTTCCCGCCAACTTCGCTCGGAAAATTTGAAATTCAAAAAATTACTCAGCTATTTGCTTCCGCCCCTGATGGTGCCCACAGAGCCAGGGATCGGAGGACTCCTTGATGGGTATAACCCATCGATACCACCCGGCAGGTTCGCAACCGCCTGGGAGGTACCTAAGTCTGGCCCCTCAAGACATGGTCAACCCGTGTAGTCTGACCGGGCGGATATGAAAGGGTTCAGAATTGATAGAATGACTTCATCCGTTGAAGATACGCAAACTTACCGGTTGAAGACTGACCGGCCGAATTAACAGTAATATTGAGACGTGCTTGTTATTCTTATAAATAGGAGAAAAAACCTCATTAAGAATAATCCACACGGCTTGTAAACTTGTAAACAGTCTCAATATCATTAATAACAAACTGTATTACAGGTGTTTCCACCTACAGCCCTTTGTTTATTTAGACTTAAAATTTGCATGGTTTTACACCATCAACATGATTGTTTTTTCTAGAATAAATTCTTGAAATGGTCCTTATTAATAAAATATTTTCCCAAATCAGTCATCAATAAGTTTAAATTACCTACAGTGTCCTCTATAATTGAAATTTATTTTCTATATAGTCGTTCGTAAATAATGTTACTCAAATGATGAATAATTGAAGGTCTTTTGGTATTTTTTATTAGCTAAATTTAGAATAAGTTATTAAAATGATCATTTCTAATAAAGTAATTTTCTAAAAGGTTTTTTTTTGAAATTAAAGACGTATATTTGATTCAGATTTTAAAAGATTTTTTTATAGTTTTTTTATAATTCATGGATTATGTATAGTCATTGCATTTTTAATTTACATTTAATTATATAGAAATTACCATTTCGAGAATATATTTTAAATTTAGATGATAGAAATATCAACAAACTCTTTAAATAATCATCATTTGAGTAATAATATTTACGAAAGATTACCTAAATAGTAAATCTCAATTATAAAAAACTACATAGGCAATTAGAAATTTAGAATTTATTGAAGTTAAAAAATTATCTCAAATTTTGGAACTCTATTTTTCCGATAGCATAGCCCAAAATCGGAGGATGACACAAACATATGGAAGATCAGATTAGACAACTGGTGGACATACGGCCCAAAGTCCTGAACTCAAACCCTAGCTGGCCGGCCGGCCCAAATCCCCCATTCTAACAAAACCCTAGCTTATTATAGCTGCTCAAGTCGTGCTCTGCGCAACCCCTCCCTCTCTCTCTCTCGCCATTTCAGGTCCGATGTTTCTCTCTATAGCTCATTTGCGTTATGTTCAATCGTGTTTTACAATGTGTTTCATTTGGTGCGTATTTGTATGTGATTATGAATCGCTAACCCTTCGTTTTTCCCTTCGATTCGATTGATGCAGATCTGTAAAAGGGGCGAAAAAGCATTCCGTCGCCATGAGGTTGGTTTTCTGCATCACCGAGTGGAATTTATGATTTTTTTTAAAACTAGATTTTTGTTTAATGAACGAAAATGGCGTTTAATTTACATTCTATGCCTTTGTTGCTTAGCTTGAGCATTCTTCTCTGTAGCACATTAAAAATGAGATTTTTTCGCTTAATTTAGTTAGATCGCTGTTTTTCAGCAAATTTTCTAGTGCGTGTTTCTGCAATCTGCATGTTATGGTATGATTCTATCGTTTCTGCTTTGTTTAATCTCCAGTAAGTTGCAAAGTGATGCTGTGAGAGAGGCAATCACCCAAATAATGGCGGATTCAAAGGAGAAAAACCGGAAATTCACTGAGACCATTGAGCTTCAAATTGGTTTGAAGAACTATGACCCTCAAAAGGACAAGCGTTTCAGTGGTTCCGTGAAATTGCCCCACATTCCCCGCCCTAAGATGAAGGTGTGCATGCTTGGTGATGCCCAGCATGTGGAAGAGGTATTTTCCATTTGTTTTTAAATTCATTTCAATCTTTGCAGTGATTCCTTTGTTTTTTGTTTTTAAGGTTTGTTTTGTATAATTTTCTTTTTTCGGGAAAAACTCTTAATGAACAAAATTTAATTTTTAGTTGTATATTGGCAGTTTTCATAATTAACCTGATTAGTAGAGTTGTCCCTGGTTATTGAATTATCTGTTACTGTGATCAGTCTGTAGATGTAAGTATGTATTAGTATAGTAATTAATGATCATGTTTTGCCTTGTCTATACTGTAGGCTGAGAAAATTGGCATGGAATTTATGGATGTTGAAAGTTTGAAGAAACTCAACAAAAACAAAAAGCTTGTGAAGAAGCTTGCCAAGAGCTCCCATGCTTTCTTGGCTTCTGAAGCTGTTATCAAGCAAATCCCTCGTCTTTTAGGCCCCGGTCTTAACAAGGCAGGTATGTATATCATGGGTTCCTTTATAATTCTATTTTGCTATAGAGTGATTGGATTAAAGCATCCCAAGTGAATTCCTAGTAGACGCTCTTGTAAGACATGATTGAATGTTAGTTTTTGAAGTGTGTTTTGGACGGATACTTGAAGGCTTACTTTTCACACAAGGAAAAACGTGCTAGGCGAGACCATTTTCATTTTCAGAACTATATAATCATTAGATAGTATAATCTCAATATCATAGTAATTGCATATCACTATCTCCATAATTCTATCAAGTTAAAATAAAAACCACCGCCCTTTACTTTTTAATCCAAAATCTCACACCTAGCATGCCGTAGGGATGACTTAGATTTCTGAATCATATTATCTCTCTTATGATACCAGGCAAGTTTCCTACCTTGGTGACACATCAGGAGTCCTTGGAGACAAAACTAAATGAAACAAAGGCTACCGTGAAATTTCAGCTCAAGAAGGTCCTTTGTATGGGCGTTGCAGTTGGCAATGTAGCCATGGAAGAAAAGCAGATATTCCAGAATGTTCAAATGAGCGTGAACTTTCTGGTATCATTGCTGAAGAAGAATTGGCAAAATGTAAGTTTGAGGGATTGTTTGTTGAAATAAATTTTTAAAAAAGAAATTTTTGTTTTGTTTTAGCATTTCCCACCCTCTAAATAGAAAATACCCCTCAGCTTTGACGTCTGTAGTCTTCACAAGCCAGATGTTTTCATGACAAGTTTGCTCTCATTATAAGACATGCGTTATTGCACTTAGTTTCTCTTATTAATTCAGTGTTTGATTTCTCTGGCAAACAGGTGAGGTGCCTCTATCTTAAGACTACAATGGGAAGGCCTGTTCGAATCTTTTAATTTGCGGGATTGTGTTCTTCTATAAGTTGTTAAAGCTCTTCAATCAATTCAGGGATACCTGAGTTTTTTTTTTGCAAGTTGGTAGCAAGAACCTTTGTACTACAATCGTCTGAGACATTGTTGCTTAAACAGAATTTCTCTATTTTGTTCACGATCAACTCTTGTTTGGTTTTGTTGTGATTTGAAGCTATATGTTGTTTTTAGTTCTTGCTCTTGGCTTTTTTTTGGAGTGCTGTCTGCAAATTGCGATGCACACATTAATTCGAGGTCATTTACATGTTAATTTTTTATTCCAATCTTTGGGAATTATCCGAACTCTCTTTTGTTTCCCAGTCATCCAACTTGGAAAATCTACATGCAAAAAGAGTTCATCTTTTATTAAATGAGATGTTAGGGCATCTGCATTGCAAGGACTAATAAAAAGAGGATTACTTTTCTTATAAAATTTTGTTAACCCATCACACAGCTCCATTACTCTTCTCTTGCATTCAAAGACTAAGGCCCTGTTCCGTTTTTTCTTATTTTTATTAAAATCATATCGAATGTGATTCGATTAAATCAGATTCAATTAAATCAGATTCAATTAGATTAGATCTAATCAAATCAGATTAGATCCCATATTATTATTACTCCCTCCATTCGGAAAATAATCTTCCCATTTTTACTTTTTCTCCGTCCAGAAATAATCTTCCCATTTCAAATTTTCATACACTAACTACCCAAAATACCCAACTTACTAATATTCACTCTCTCCCTTCCCACTTTCTCTCTCCTCCCTTAATTCCTCGCCTCTCTCCTCTCTTTTCCTCCTTCCTCTTCTCTCTACATTTGTTCCTCTTCTTCTTCTTGAGAATTGGTCGGAGAGGTGGAAATGCATCAATCACCAGGTGCCTTCCTTTGCTTCTTTCTTCTTCTTCTTCTCCCCCTGTTTTTTCTCATTTCTGTTTATTTTCCTCCAGATCTCTTTTTCTTCTTCTCCTCTTCCTCCTTCTCCCCTCCGTTCTTTCTCGTCCTCCTTTTTCCCTCCAGATCCGCTCCTCTTTCTTCTTCTTCTTCTCCCCCCAATTCTTCCTCATCCCTCTTTTCTTTCTCCAAATCAATTTATCATCTTTCTTCCTCTTCTTATTCCCCTTGTTCTCCTATTTGTTTTTCTTCTAAATCTGTAAGGTGGAAAGATCTAAGGGTTGAGATGGTGGTGAGGGCTGCGGCGATAGTGGGGCGTCGGCGGTACTTTAGGGCCTGTGGTAGCGGTGGGATGGGATTGACGGAAATGATATGGTGGGAGCAAGGGGCAGGGCCGCAGGGATGGTGGGTGGGGACAATTGAGGGGATGGTATTTTGGACATTTCCATCCTAAAGTCAACACTTCATAAAAATGGGAATAAGTCCAAATGGGAAGTTTAATACCGGACGGAGGGAGTATTATTATTATTCTTGTTGTTGTTGTTGTTATTATTATTATTATTATTAATATTATTATTATTATTATTATTCTTAAAAATGAAAAAGAATAAACTTTAGAAACAAGTTAAATAGAAAATTGAGAAAGTAATCCTTTATTATTAGACGGGTGGAAAAATTATATTTAAAATACATTGACAATGTCAGTTTAATTCTACTTTAAAAATATATTTTTATTGCTATCTGTAATTTGAGTTTCTACAGTTTTGATCTTTTACAAAGATGCGATATTTTAATAATACTATCTCGTCTATATATTGATTATCTAAATTTAATTACTTTTTAATGTGTATATAAATTAAATGTTTATTCTAATGTATATATGAAGTAATTATTAAAATATTAGATTAATATTCTAATTTAACAAAAAATAATCATAAATAAAAAATATTATTACATTATAAAATGAATGATTATTCTAATATAAGAATTAGCTAATTTTATTTTATTAAAAAATAATCATAAAATAAAAATATTGATTATATTATAGTATGAATTATCATTACAATTTTCAAATGTTATTATAATGTCAAATCAAATTATATATTTGAATTTTAAATCAAATCAGATCAGATCCAATCAGATCAGACCAGATCAGATGAGATCAGATCTAATCAGATCAGAACTACAAAAAATCAGATCAGATCAGAAAAAATAAGTTGAATGGAATGGAGCCTAATACTCCTTCCGTCCTAAAAATGTATACTTTGTGCAAGAATGCTGGTAGTAGTGGTTAGACCGTTAGTCTAGGAGTTGAAATTTGAAGAGCTTTCGAGGATTGCTGATGATGATGAGCTTCATTACACGTTGTTTTGAAGTTGGCCAATATATGTATTTTGATAGCCGTTGTGTTTCCTAACTATTTTTTCAATTGTTTTTTCAATCGGAGATTAGAGACCTAAACCTACTCGTGACCACTCTTTTCTATGCTTTTCCAATCGTCGTTGGCATTGCCGAGCACATATCGTTTCAAATCTCGACCGCTATTGCCAAGAAGTCTATCGGCCGCCGCCAAAATTAGTTTGGGGGTGCAATTAAAACTAATCGCAGGTGGGTAAGGTCTGATTAACCACCAGTTTCCCTTAAAATTAATTTGGGGAGTGCAATTGAAGGAGGTGGGGGATGTGTTCGCTTCGGGGCGGGGTGGGAGGGTTTACTTGGGAGGTTAAAGGGGTAGGAACCGTCAATTTTATGAACGGAACACCGGAACACTCTCTGGCCATCTCATGACATTGATTCTCAATGTCATTGGAATCAAGGAGTTTTTATTATTAAAAGTTTACACTTAACCATTACTCGCATTGTAATCTATATAAAGTGACCAAAAATAAAATTATCACATATATTTATATAAAGTGACCAAAAATAAAATCATCACATATATTTAGAAAAATACTCCATATATACTAAAAAAAACTTTATTATTTTTGAATAATACTCCGTATATTGTACGGAGTAAAAAACAAGCAGTTAACCAGAGTGCCATGTACAACTCCTACATATCCAAAGATGATTTTTTTACCAATATAAGAGTTATATATAATGCTAAAACGTGTTAATATATAATAACAAAATTCACTTGAAATGTTAACATACAATGCCAAATCGTGGTGTTGCATTGTGTCAAAACAAAAGCATAATCCTTGACTCTCTTTGCTCGTGTTTCATTCGAACTTTGACTAACACGATTTTACTCCATAATTAAGTAAAATTTAATTTTTGTGATTGTAATTTATGTTGAGAAAAGTAATAAAGTATATGTCATAAAATATTTTTTTCTAAAAAAGAAAATGAAATAAAATTTTGAAACATGTAAAATATAAAAATAAAAAAAAGATAATTATAAGACCAAAAAATATTATAGAACACTTTATAAAATGAATAATGAAAATTGAAAAAAAAACCCCATCAACCCAAATCGAAGAGTCGTTGGTTGGCTAGACCAACCGTCCGGGAACACACTCAAATACGGAGCACTACGTGTTTTATGACCAATCCAACCAAGCACCCCGTCCAATCCTGATCTGATTCCCAACCATTTCTGGCCGGAGCTTCACCTGAGAGCCATGTACGGCGCTCTGAACCTATCCCCATCCCCAATCCGACGGCCACTTTCATCCCGGAAAGCAGTATCAAACTACCGGAGAAAGAGATTACTGTTTTATTGTAACTCATCCTCGGGAAACCCCATGGGATCCGGGTCAAGGGAGCCCAAATTGGAGACTTCCCTTTCTGGGCCGTCCAATTTCAAGGCACCGCAGCCCAAGCCTTTTAGGGTTAGGCGCGATAAGCTCTTCGACGTTCTGGGAGCCTCTCTTGCTATATTACTTCGACTTGGCACTGGCGCTACTGTTTCTGGGTACCAATCACTCTACAGAGCTGTTTTTTAAGTCACTCACGTTATAACGATTTCAATTTTAGTTTCATTGGCTATTTTGTCTGTTTTTTATTTGATTAACTGTCTGTGTGTGGGTGTAGAAAGGGATGCTGGGATTGGATGAAGATAAAATGCCCATTTTTTCAGAATATCTCAAATTTAAAGAATGATGTTAAAAATAACCATAAGCTACATCAAATTAGATTGTACATCGTCCGTTTTGGCTAGATCTTTGATACAGAGGAAGGAAGCTGCAGGATCAAGCTTCGATGCTCTGTAACGGCAATGGTGATTAAGAACAGAGATTTTAGAGAGAGAAGGAGAAGATGGGGAAGAAGATGAATTCAGATTATTATTCATGCCTTAGCATACAACATACATCGGTTTATATAGCCCTAACAATGTATCACAACAACTTCTCAACAAACTAACAACCAACTAACAGATTGTAACTAACATAACCNAAATTACTGCTATATATGAGAATGTCATCAAAGAAGATGAGGACAAACTTCCTCAGGAAAGGCTGAAAAATATGATTCATCAGGCCTTGGAAGGTAGCTGGGGCATTCGTTAGCCCAAAAGGCATCACTAGAAATTCGTAATGTCCCAAATGTGTTTTAAAAGCTGTTTTGTGCACATCATTCTCCTCAACCCGAATTTGATGATATCCAGCCCGTAAATCCAGCTTACTAAAGACCATTGCACCAGCTAATTCATCGATCAATTCTTCTACTATTGGAATGGGAAACTTATCCTTGATGGTTGCCCTGTTTAACTCCCTATAATCAACACATAGCCGCCATGATCCATCTTTTTTCCCCACTAACACCACTGGGGATGCAAATGGACTATTGCTAAACTGAATGACTCCACTGTCCAGCATTTCTTCTATCAGCTTCTCAATAATATCTTTTTGTTTTTGTGGATATCTATAGGGCCTTATACTCACGGGTTGGCTACCACTCTTAAGTGGTATACTATGATCAAAAGGGCCTCTTTTAGGTGGGAGGCCAACTGGTGTGCTAAACACCTTGGCATATTTTTCCAATAGCTGGACAATTGCAGGTATCGCTTTCTCTTCTCGCTCTCCATGTGCTTTTAGTATTTGCTTGTCCAGCGTTTGATTATCCAATTTCTCCTTCACCTGAACCATACAGATTTGTGTCACCTTGCCCATGTCTTTAGCCCATTGATCACTTTTTGCTATCATCATCCTGGGTTTGGTTCCACGAAAAGTGTGGTGTTTTCCCAAATATTCAAACTCCATAGATAGTTGCTTAAAGTTCCATCTAATTGTGCCCAGTGTACTCAACCATTGGATGCCTAGCACCATATCACACCCCCCAATAGGCATGATGTAGACATCAGAGGAGAATTCTGTGTTTTGCAACCTCCATTTAAAGTTTTTACAGATTTGAGTGCAGGGTAGTCTGTATCCATCAGCCACCACTATATTCAGTGAGTTGATAGGCTCCAGTGGACATCCCAATTTCTGCGCCATTTTACTGTCTAGGAAGTTGTGAGTACTTCCTGAATCTATTAATAGTTGGAGTGCCTTTCTGCCCACAAAGCCAGTTATTCTCATGGTTTGAAAACCATTTCCCCCTGTTATTGCATGTAATGATATAGAAGGAGCATTGGTCTCAGTAGATTCATAAGTGGACAATTCAAACAACTCTTGATCTTCCTTGCCCAACACTTCCACTAAGAATAACTGTGTTTCTTTGCTTTCACACTTGTGCCCCCTCTCATAGGGCTTGTCACAATAATAACACAGCCCTTTTGCAATCTTCTCAGCCCTCACAGTGGCAGGTATGAACCTTGGATTCTTCTGAGCATGGTTGTGTGACTTTCCATAAGAGTTGGCCACCGGGTTGCTGTTGGGAGTTTTAGCAGAATCAGTCATGCTAATGCCAGTTTTGGGCACAAAATCAGGCCTAGCCAGTAGGGGAATTTTACTCCTTGTTGATACAGCGGTGTAATGCCCAGTCTTACCGCCCTTCTCATGAGTTTTGCATGCTTCTAGAGTATCTTCCTGCAACCTTGCAAAGCTAATGGCCTTAGCCAAAGAAGATGGAGCAAAAGCTTTCACAAACGGTTTAACCTGAGGCCTAAGCCCGGCTATAAAGCTGTCCAAAAAATGTTCTGGCGGCATATTAGGTCTTTTTTGCAACAAGGATGCCTTCAACTCTTCAAACTTATCAATGTATTCTTCCAAACTACCTGTCTGGCTCAATTTGTTAAACTCCTCAACCACATTATCATATATGTCATCCTTAAACCTTGCACACAAATCCACAATGAACTCCTCCCACACCACATTGATTTTCGACTGGCTATAGTTACTATACCAAGTCTCAGCCTTTCCTTTCAGATGTATAGTCGCCAGATCGACTACTGGTGCTCAGGAACATTACATAGAGTGAAATACTTCCTACATTTCTTAATCCACTCTATCGGATTTGCTCCTTCAAATATAGGAAACTCGATTTTAGGGTTAAACCGGAATGGATTCCTACCTTCTGAGTTTGTAGATGGACTTCCGCCTTCCGATTGATTGCTAGATGAACTGGCCTGCAATTCATGTAATTGAGCCGTCAGTAGGTGAATTTGTTCCTCCATCAATCGTCTCTGTTCCAGAATTTGAGTCGACATCCATGTTTGTTGTTGCTCCATCATTTTCTTAATTGATTCCTCCATTTTGGATCGCGCACGCGTGTTTGCCAGCTCTGAATCAGCAAACTATTGGATCTGATTGATAATCCTGGAACGAATTGGCTCTGATACCAATGATACAGAGGAAGGAAGCTGCAGGATCAAGCTTCGATGCTCTGTAACGGCAATGGTGATTAAGAACAGAGATTTTAGAGAGAGAAGGAGAAGATGGGGAAGAAGATGAATTCAGATTATTATTCATGCCTTAGCATACAACATACATCGGTTTATATAGCCCTAACAATGTATCACAACAACTTCTCAACAAACTAACAACCAACTAACAGATTGTAACTAACATAACCTCCTTTCCCAGCTAAGGCAATTACCCACGTGGTCAATATAGCAAAGGACTGTATCAATCTTCTCTTTATGGGTTACGAGGCTTGACCTACTTTATTTTCAATTCAATGTATTTGATTTAAGTGCAAGATTTGAAAATAAAATTTATATTTTAATAAATTACATGAAAAGTTATAGAAAACAAGAGATGACAAGATTATATTATTTTATAAAATGAGTGGTAAAAATAAGCAAATAAAGTGAGTTCAGTCCTGTGAATAGATCTCTGGAGGACAGAGGGAGTATAATTTTATTTTTTTTGCCAAATGTGGCATGTGGACTACTAAATCCTGAAGTTCAAAAGGAAAATAATTGACGACTAAATGTTGGATTTTTGGTGGGCCGAGTGGATCAGGTAGAGTGTCGTGTGAGATTGACCACTTTTTTTATATAAAGTTTGGATCCGCTTTCTAACAAAAAGCTTAAGCTAATGGGTAGTTAGTGCTTCACCTTTCCTTATATGAGGTAGTATTTAATTGATCCTCCGGGTGTGGGATAGAATCCAACACCCCTCTCAAGTGGTAACTAGCTTGGGCTAGTTATTACTTGGATGAATGACTCTAGCATCTCATTCTCTTTATAGGTCACCAAGAAGGTGATACCAGGATGAATCAAACATTAACTGATCTTAGCTCTAATACCATGTTGAATTATTGGTGGGCCGAGTGAATCCGATCGAGTCCGATCGAGTACCGGGTGAGAATGACCACTTTTCCATATAAAGTCTGGATTTAGTTTCCAACCAAAACTTAAGCTAATGGGCAATGCTTCACCTTTCTTTAAATGGGAGAAGTATTTAAATTATTTTGCTGGTGTGGGATAGAACCCAACATGCGACTCCCAACACTAAATCCACATTAAGGGAGTATTTATATATGGAAATGGAAAGTGCTAGCTCATACATAGACAAAAGCCTAGGGTTTAGATTGCAATGGCATCTGATTAATTGACGGCCTCTAGTTAAACATTGTCTTGCCATGTTGTCAGTTTGGGGTAACCAATGTTTCAATTCACTAGTTGTGAAAGAGTGTTCATCCATGAAGATTTTTAAACTGAGGGGCTACTCTTTTTGTGTGATGAAATGTGAGCATGTATTAACTTGTGAGGCGTTGAACGGGCTTACATGACTTTTTTGTATCATTTATTTCACCAGAGGTTATCGGGGGAAGTAGAGGAAGGGGTAGACCTAGGAAGAATTGGAAGGAGGTGATTAGGCAGGATTTAGGACTTCTCACCCTGACTGAGGATATGGCTTTAGATAGGAACCTTTGGCGGACTAGGATTAAAGTAGCTGGTTAGGAGCGCGGTGGTGCAGAGGTTTTTGTAGTGTGTTGTGTTTGATTGGAATCTTCTACTTTTGCTTGCTGGACTTTCATTTCATTGTACTTGGTGCTTTATCCTGTTATATCGTGTTATATCCTGTTATATCTTGTTACCCTGTTATATTGTGTTCCCTACCATATTTTTGTGCAGGTTGAGCCGGGGGTCTCTTGGAAACAGCCTCCCTACTTCCGAGTAGGGGCAAGGTCTGCGTACACACACCCTCCCCAGACCCTGCTGTAGTGGGATTCGACTGGGTTGTTGTTGTTTGTTTGTTTGTTTATTTCACCAGAGGTGCAGTTGTGCAGATAATGAATTTTTTTATAACCTTCATTTCTTCAACTATGCAGATATTCAGCCTCCTTTGTTGACAAGAATGAGATCCCGTCTGACCACTATGCACTTGAAATTGCTGGTTGTTACTCCTTATGCAGTTATTTATATGCAGTTATTACTTGTCTATTTGCAACAATCTAAGTCAATTTACACATGTAAGTTGGTTGTCACTGATGTTGGAAGTTTATTTAACAGGCTACAAGGTGAAAGAGACTTCAAAATTGGGTCCTCGACCTGACAAGCCAATTGAGATATATGAATATGAAAGGTTTCTTTGATTGTGCTACACTTACAATTAATTCAAAATTAACAATCATTGTCATGTTTAGTTTTTAGTTCATACAGAGTACCATATATGGTTTCCCCTTCGTATTTTTTTATATGAATCTCTTTTGTTACTTATTTGATCACCTTTTGCTGCATACTAATATTCCTGCGATGGATTACACGGTGACCTCTTCAGCTGTCCCTTTTGTCGGAAGGTAACACTAAATATTTTTATACTTTTATGGATCTATTATGTGCAACTATATGTCATTGGGAGCATTGCACAACATGCCCATCTTTTTATTTCAAAATTTATCTCAGAATTTCTCCCGACTTTAAATAAATTGAAACAGGCATTTATTTCATTATGTTTTAGTATATAGTTCATATCACACTATGATCTTTTTAAATTTGATTGATTTCACTTTTATTTGTAATGAAATATAAATGCTTGTTTCAACTGATCCAAATATTGGCCTAGCTGCTCACTTTGGTTTCCCTAGAATGATCCACTTTTAGACAGAGTAGGCACTGCCACACAGGGTTAAACACTCACATGCAATCTTATTTTGTTGGTATGGCTTTCATTCATCATTGGTATAACATAGTTCCTTGTCTGTTACCCACAAATAATGTACAGGTTAGGGAAATTGTTGCAATTTTGGATCTTGATGTTTTGTTCTATCCTTGCCCAAGAAATGGCCAAAATTTCCGTCATAAGGTGGCTCAAATGGGAGGAAAACAACAGTTTCCTTATATGGTAACTCACAGTATATAATTACACTAACACAATGTCCTTATCACACAGTTCTCTCATATAATTAAACAAATGTTTGAAATATTATTTTCTGTAACTTTTGTGCTTAAGGTTGATCCGAACACTGGAGTTGCAATGTATGAATCAGATGAGATAATAAAGTACCTGGTTGAAAATTATGGTATACGGAGTACATATTTCTAGTTCATATATATATATATTAATATGTTCAAGATATGATGCATTATAGATTAGCTAACAGGTTATTCTTTTTGTTTAGGTGATGGGCATGTCCCCCTTTCATTGTCTCTTGGTCCGCTAACTGTAAGTTAAATAATGATTTGTTGAAGTCTTAAAGAAATTGTGTCTATTAAGAGTTGGTGGCCAGAATAGGAATATTTGTGACTTTCGAGCCAAATGTATTTTTGCTCCAAAAGTATGTTTGGTAACATTAGAAGTGTTGTAGCTTGAAAGTTGATATAGAACAACTTAAAAGCTGTACCTGTTAAAACTTCTGTTCAAACCACAATACTAAGGTTTTTAAATAATTGTCTGTTATGAGTTTAAAAGTTTCAGCACCACACATGTTTGCATTTCATTACTTTATAGTTATATAAAAAATTATACTCCGTACCATATAGACTTTTTCCAGAAGACAACTTGACACATTTTATTCACAGATCAAAACTTCATAATTGTAATACCAAACTGGTCCAATATCTTTAATGATGGCTTCCATGATTCAGACATTCACAACAGGCTTAGCTATGATCGGAAGAATGGGAAAGGGGTCTACCTATACTCCATCTAAACTTCCACCACAGCCTCTTGAAATTTGGGCATACGAGGTTTGACCTTTCTTTCTTGGAAGAAGCGTAACATCTAAATGAACTAACATCAATCCATTTTGAAATCTTCTAATTTATTTTAGAAAATGATACTTGTAATTGTTTTCACATGTCATTATTGTTTTGATTTGGTATCTACATCTTTCTATTGATGTGTAAGCCTTCTATTTCAGCCTTCCCCCTTTTGTAAAATTGTGCGCGAAGTACTTGTTGAACTAGAGCTGCCTCATTTACTTCACAGGTACGCCTTTAGTACGAGTCCATCTTTTGACATGACAAGAATGATAGAAAATTAAAAGAAAATACATGCTACCTATATCTTCTAAAAAAAGAAATGAAATGAAGGATTAAACAAGATTTTACCACTATAGAGCAATGCAATAACATCCCAAGCATCACACTTCATGACTACATGTCTGATTCTCAGTCTCTGAGCCAAATGAATTCCATAATATCCAGTTGCATGTTCCACCCATTCCAAATGAACCATCCTCAAATGCACTTGTGTCAGTATTAGCTGTAACCATACCATTGGAGGTGGTAGTGTGGTATCCAAAACCAAAAGGATTTTACATTCTTTGGGGCTTTCTTAATAACTATTGATGTGTTCATACTATGTTCTTCAATCAACTTTGGGGAAATAATTACAGGGGAAATGCTTTGTTTCAATTGGAGAAATCCAACTATTCAGGCCTTCTTATTCCCCCACAAGCCTCAACAAAAAGCAACTCAAATATTTTCTCGTAGTCTATTACATAGATATGATATAGTCCATTGCTCTCTCTGTCCCAGAAAAGGTTCTTCATTTCTCTTTTATCCATTTCAAAATAAGGTTCAACTTTTTTAAAGAAAGATTGTGTGTTTCACACTATTACACTCTCTTTTGCATAGATTCCCACCGAATAGTTTCACATCCCTTAATAATCAGGCGGATTCCAATGTGGAACCTTTTTTGAAACGTAGAAATGTGTCTGCACATGTCTGTATCTGTTTATGCTTATGTACATATGTGCTTATGCAATCTCAAGTTTGTGTGGTGAAAGTGTAACCAGTGGAAAATTATTTAAACCAACATTTTTTTGTCCACTCAAAATTTATACTTTAGTCATTTCTCAAACAATAAAATCACAAATAAAGCATTCTCAATCTTATTCTTTTGTTTTAAACAATTAACAGCTTTAAGGTAAACTGCTACTCCCTTCATCCCAAAATGTTTTGCACTTTGTGCAAAATGAGGAGGAATTTTAGATTTTTTAAAATTCATTTTATTTAAAGATTGGTATAGAAATAAAAAAAATAAAACTTACATATTTAAAAATTACATCAAAAGTTCTACAAAACAAGAGGTGATAAGAATATTTTATTTTATCAAATAATCAATGAAAACACACAAATAAACAAAAATTAATGTGAATTTGGAGTATATTTCTTTTTGGGACGGAGGGGGTATAATATCTTCATCGAAGAATCAATCAAAATGAAAAATTATGAGTATCTTGGAATAACATGTTATCTGCTTTGAACAATTAAAAAAATTGTATCAAGGAATAGCATTTTATTTGCATAATTAAGTATTAGGAAAAAAGACCTAATACACTGTTACAAATTCTCACCCTCCATGCTTGAGGGAAAACTTTGTCTAGGATGGTTTTGATGGTATTTGTTTGGCGGCGATGTTTGTGGCTTTGATGCATGCTCCCTCTTCCGTATATATTTAGTCCTCGACTTTCTATAGTATCTTGAATGTATTCAATGATAACAAAATAAAAAAAAAGCCTTGGGAAGTAAAACTCGGATGCTTTGAGAATTGAAACTGGAGTAGTGTACAACACTGCAACTAAATCCATATGGAAGGAGTATATTAGTTTGGTGGGTGCTTTCAATTCCATGGCAGAGACTATTGCTAAAAATGGCAAAGACTGTTATTTATATGATACTACCTAAATAATAGGGAGTAACATTTTGTAAGTTTTTTCTTCAGTGATGCACTTTTTTAGATATCTCGTTTACTCTGCAGTTGTGCTCGTGGAAGCCCCAAACGTCAAGAGTTGTACCAGCGAGTTGGACACTTCCAGGTTTTTCCGTCTTCCTAATCCTAATTAGTGGTTGTGGTACTTAAGCACAAAATTTGACCTTAACACTACGTTTGGTTCAAAGAATTCATAAGAGAAGAAAAAAAGAATGAAAATTTGATTTTGGTGTTCGGTTAGAACGGAAAAGAAAAGAAAATTGGAAGGAAAAAAGGTAAGGAAAACCTAACCCTTTGTTTGGTTTGTGGAATTCGAAAGAAATGAAAAAGAATTGAGTTTTCTTTCCTTTGCCTCACCAAAATAGAAGAAAAACTTTTTTCCTTCTCTAGTTAAATTTTTTCCATTTTCTTTTCCTCATAACCAAATAAGAAAAATGGTTTTCCCCCTCATTTTTTTCTTTTCCCTCTCAAATTCCTTGAACCAAACATAATGTAAAAGTGAAAAAGTAGCTTTCCTTCCATTTTTGTGATGAGGAGAATGAGAGAAAGCAGCAAATTCTTTTTTCATTTCTCTACAACAACTTAAACAAAGAAGTTATTGAAAAAATAATTCACTCACCAATTTTCCTACTAACCAAACACGATTAAGATTTTTGGTTTCTTGGACATTCATTTCATTTCCTTTGCGTTTTTATTTCCTCCGTAATTCCTCGGACCCAAACATAGTAAAAAAGGATAAAATACAATACTTAATATGTGTGGATGCATCTTTATTCCCAGGTTCCATATTTGGAAGATCCAAACACCGGTGTGCAGATGTTTGAGAGTGCAGAGATTGTTGAGTATTTACGTGCAACTTATGCTCTCTGAGGAATACGTGCGGATTGCTGTTTTCTCCCCTGCTGTATAATATTCGCCGCGGCTCTATGTGTTCAAATTTTGCCAGCTTCGGGACCGGTTTTGGTGAGATCCTTGAAGCAACTTCTCTATGTATTTTGCATAGCATGTGAAGCTTGAAGTTCCATTTTACTGGAAATTGTATCCTTGGCCAGGTAAGCCTGTTTAAAGATTATTTGTAGTAACATACTTCGTGTAAAATAAACCAACAGAGATCTGATGAGTTTTGCTACTCTATACTGTTTTGGCAAATGCCCATGCCTATTTATTTTGTTTCGTAAAAGTGAAGTGAAAGGTAGTATAAAGTATTTGGTTGTTGTGGGTAAAAATGTATTTTTATTTAAAAACAATCAAGGTGTAAGTCAAAAAGAAAATTGAAAGATGATCTTGGGAAAAATTATAAAAAAGGAAATGTGGATAAAATGATAAGTGAAAAATAGTTGGTTGAAATTAAATTTGCTTGTAAGAGTAAATATTTGCACCACATTTTTTTAATAAAAAAACAGAAATGTGAGAAATACTCTATAAATTTTATTGTAGGAAGAATGTCATTAAAAAGAGTAAATTTCATTATTCATTTTAATATGTAAATACTTTGTATTTTTTTCAGTGCATCTCAAAGTAAATTTATAAAGAGTATTTTTCTTTATTACGAATGAAATACTCTGTAAATGGCCAAAGAATTTAGGGATGGGGTTGTTTTAGAGCGCCGTACTTGGCTCTCCGGTGAAGCTCCGGCCAGAAATGGGGAGTGTGCTTTGTTGGATTGGTGAAGTTTTGCTACTCTAACAAACCTGCATCTTTATCCCAAATATAACTAAAGCATGGAACCTTTACATAAATAGGGCATTTTAAAATTTTATACAAAAGGTTTTATTTAGGCATGTTACGAAGCATCTCCGATTTTAAATTCTGTTTTTACCCATTTTTCTCCATGATAAATGCCGAAACATTTAATGCATTCGTAAGTTGGCAGTAAAGTTGGTTTTTAGCGAATATTACCTTTGGGACGAGGCAATAAGAGCACTGGTAATGGTCATGTAGCCCCGGGGCTTCAAACTTTCTCTCTTTGCCACGTCAGCTTTAACTTACACCCAAAATTCACTGAAAATGGTTTTGAAGCCCCGGGGCTTCAAACTGGGGCTTCAAATCTTCATTTTTTACATTTTTAAATATACATCTTCTAAATTTAAATTTATAAATTTAAATTAATTTATTATTTTAATGAATCGCAATGACACTAGTGCATAAAAAAATTAAATTCATTATAAAAAAATCTTACATTCATAAAAAAACATAAAAAAAATTACATTCATTAAAAAAAATTACATAAAAAAAACAATAGTACAAAAAAATCACTAATTATTCGAACGACTAATGATATGCTCGATCAAATCCGCCGTTAGCGCATTGTGAATCTCTCGGCTTCGAATTTCTTGGCGGTTGCGTTGTTTCTTTTCTTCGGTGATTTCTTCGTACATAGGCACCTCCTCGTCCGGGTTGTATTGACAAATCGCAGACCCGTTATTCTCTATGATCATATTATGAAGAATAATACATGCGTACATGATATTCCTCATTTTTGTCTGAGAATAACTTTTCGACGGACGATCTAGAATGTGCCACTTAGCCTTCAAGACCCCAAAGGCTCGTTCATTCGTTCAATATCTTTTCTCGCCGCTTCTTGAGCTTTTTTGTAGGTTTGGCGTTTAAGACCCATTGGTTCGGAGAGAGATTTGACAATCGTGGAATAATCCGGATATATTCCATCAGCCAAATAATATCCACGCTTGTAAAGCGTCCCTCTAAGCTCAAAAGAGAAGTCCGGTGCGGTCTCATTAACCCAATCGTCAAAAACAGGCGATTGATCGAGAACGTTGATGTCGTTGTTCGAGCCCGCGACACCGAAAAAAGCATGCCAAATCCACAAGTCATTCGAAGCAACAGCTTCGAGCATGATGGTAGGCTTCGGATGATCTCCTCGGGAGAATTGACCGTGCCACGCAGTGGGACAATTTTTCCATTCCCAATGCGTGCAATCAATACTCCCAAGCATGCCCACAAAGCCGTGTTTAGCGGCATGCCTTGCCTGCAACTGCTGGATGTCGCTCGCTGTTGGCTTGCGTAAATATCTTTTATGATAAATTTGAATAATAGCCTTTGAAAATTTATAAACACAAGACCTGATGCTCCGAGCCGACATCTTCAAGTATTCGTCGAACATATCGGATGTCGTCCCGTACGCCAACTGACGGAGCGCGGCAGTGCACTTCTGGACGCTACTAAACCCGCGTCGGCCTCTCGCATCAAATCGTTGGGTGAACCAAGGAACCTCGCGTTCAACATCGGCGAGTATGCGTAAGAAGAGAGGACGACTCATCCGAAAACGATTACTAAAATCTTCCGGGGTATAAACACACGAATTATTAAAGTAGTTGTTTAGAAGTGAAGCGTGGGCGGCCTCTCGATCACGGTTTAAGCGTTGGCGTCGGGTCCGTCGTCGGGAGGATTCGGCTTCTTCTTGGCCATCTTCCCACCATTGAATACAATTCGTCGCGAAACAACGAAAAAATAATGCTCTTCTTTCATCTTCGGAAGATGAACCCATTTTAAATTTATATTTTATAAATATTTATAATAAATAATAAATATTTTTGAGAGAATATAAAGTAATAAAGAGAGATGTGTGAGAGAGAGGTGTGAGAAAGATGTATGAGAAAGGGGGATTTTATAGGTTTTTTTTTAAAAATTTAGATTTTTTTTTATTTTGGGGGTGGGTAACGGCTATATAGCCGTTGGGAAGGGGGGGAGCCGGCGAAAAGTTGCATCACGCCGCGTCAAACTAATGACGCGGGATGTCTCACGTCCGAATCACGCCGAAGGGGGGCGGTGTTTAACACCCCCAGGCGTTAAACGCCCGTATCAAGGCGGTGGGCGTGATGGGCATTTCCAGTGCTCTAATGCCAGTTTTCAGTGCATAATGCCTTTGCAATTGGGCAGTAATGAAGGTTTTGGATGAATACTAGCTTTGTGATTGGGTAGTAATGCTGGTTTTTAGTAAATAGTACTCGTAGTAGCATAATCTTTTGAGCAATAGTCCATACGTGAATTACATCCTATTTACGTACAATGTTATCAGTGGCGGATCCAGGATATTAAATAGTAGGGGTCACCTTTCGAGTGTTCTTGGACAACTTCCCCAATTTTTTTTTATACATGCAATGCAAGACTTTAAAAATGAATTTACCCTTAAATAGTTATTCAAATAGTAAAAAAATAAAAAATAAATTTTTTTAATGCCAATATTATAAATTAGTTTGATTATCACTCCGTATATTTTTAGTGTACTACTTTAGAATTTATCTTTGCATTTTAAAATATTTCACTTTAAAATTATATTGTTCTAATATCTAAAAATTGCTAAAACGATATGTTTAATATAACTGTTGCATACTTTTTAATGTTGAGGACAAACATTTGAATGTTCTGCGTAGAGTTGTGTGTTATTTCGTCAACAGACACGTTCGATCAGTTTGTGCTCTATAACTATAGAGCCTATGGTATGTTTAACTAATGACAAATCTTCTATAGTCATTTTAGATACTAACGTCTTATCTGATTGAAGTATTTTGGTATATTCTGAAACGACCACGCGATTTATTTAGTCTATCAAGATTTTTCATGCTCATTCGTATACCGTTCAACCCGTTCTACATATCGCTGCTACATAGCATTATTAACCTTCCGGATTCACAACATATACTACCTCTGTCGAGAGTATTAAGATTTTTTAAATTAAATTAAACAACGTTTAATCACCGATTATATACAAATTGTGTTATGCAAATATATATTAATACATAAATAATTTTATTAGATTTGTAATTAAAAAATTTCAGATTTAATATGTAATTCAAACTTAATGTAATTGAAGACTAAAGTTAGGCTAATTTAACTAGAAAAACTTTAACTAAACCAATAATTTGACATGATAAATACAAATTAGAGATATGGAGGGTGGATACATCTAACATCTTTAAAGAAATTTTAGAGTTTAGAGTGACTTTAGATAGAAGTTAAGAATCTATAAATGAATTATAGTAAGAGAATTAGAGTTAAAAATTTAGGGGAAAAAAATTTATAGCAAAAAACAAAAACAATGCTTTTGATAACTTCACAAAAATTTGTGGTCTAGATTGATTTGAGACATAAGTTAAGAATCTTTAAATTGGACTTTGAATATCGAAGTTAAAAATTCTGGAGAAAAAAGTTTAATAGTAAAAAATAAAGGCATTCACAGTTCTTAAATATTCTCTAAGGCTTGCCATAGTGCCCGTCATCCCTCTCTCCCGTGATCCTCCTGGAATTGTCACGTTGCTGAGGAATCACGGGGACACTGCACCCCCCTCGGTGTGAGCGATTCCGTGGCCACGGCCACGGTCCTTTCTTCAGACTTTTTTTTTTTAAATTTCCCTCTCCTCCATCGGTTGGAAGTATTTTTAATTTAGTTACTGCGTATTGTGTTTTTGTATGTACTTCATATTTGTTAAATTTAATTATTTAGTGTATTTTTTTAATTCGCGTAATTTATGAATTTTTAAATTAATTGTTTTTTGGTGCGTTTAATTTTTATAAAAAAAATAAAAAAATGTTAATAAGACAAGTTTGTTAATTTTTGAATTATTTGTTTGTGACTCTAGCATATGGTAGATGATCTAAAAAGATATATCAGAAAATTGTAAAAGTCACACTGTGTTTGGGATGAAGCATTTTCCTAATGTATTTACATAATAGTTTTGTTCATTCTTTACTAATTGTCTATATGACTTTTATGATATATCAAAAAATAAATATAAACATAAAATATGTCTATATTAATTCATTTTTTAATATATGATGAAACTCATTACAAACATTTAATAAAGAATGGAGGGAGTTTTTGTTTACGGAGTACAATACGCGGTATATACGGAGGAAGTGAAAAGGTCAACACGAAACAATTTCCCCGCGCTGGGGCCCATGCCTCGAACCCCTCAGTCTCCAAAGCCTATTGAATCACTGAAGCCCCCCACGACTCGGACCGCCGACCCGACGCGAACCGCTTCAATCCGGGTTCCTCGATTACCGGTTCGGCGCTCATTGGAATCTCGCGAGATTTTTTCGCCTTCACGCTCTTCGCGACTGGCCCCACCTGCTCCCCGTTTCCTCCGCTTTGCGGTTTCTTTTCGCCGGTTTTCGCGGGTTTGTGGTTGGAATGGGGCCGGAATATGGATACTAACCGGGAATAGAACCGGGGCTTCCGGTTTTCTCCGTTGCTCCGGACCGATTTCTCCCTCTTCGTTGACGATCTCCGGCGGAGGTGCTTCGACCTAACCCTTCCGATGCACGACACCTTTGGAGACGACGGTTCACCGCCTGGTTTCCCAATAGATCCTGTCCGCCGCGGCGGAAAAAGACGGATTTTCGCCGGTTTATTCGCCGTCCTCCGCTTTGACGACTCTGCGTAGGTAGTCTTCTGGCTTTTAGGCAACCTGAAGATCGAAGCTTTGGAAAACCTCTGCGAGCTCGGATTCGAATTCAGGTGAGCCTCGGCCGCGTTCGGATTGACGCCTCTCGTGGACTCCTTGCGCTCGTAGAAAGCGTTCCTGTCGAACCAATCGAACTCGGAATCCTTCGACAGCCAGAAGGATTCCGGAGCTACAACGGCCTCTATTTCGCCGGAATCGGCCTCCTGGTCGCCGGAGCCGTTCTTTGTGTCGCCAGCGTCGGCTGTCTCTGTTGCCAGCGTTTCGCATGCGATTTTCCGGTCAGTCCCTCCGCCAGCGCAGGCGGAGACTAGCGTTTCGAGATCAACCTGAGGCATTCTAGAGAGAACAAAAGGAGGGAGGAGACAGAGACTTCAATCTAGTCTAGAGAGAGAAAGAAAGATGTTGAAAATGCGCGATTTTGAGGGGATGCGTGCACAAATCTTATAGACTTCGAATTTCTCTCTAATCTAATTAAGGAGTAGTTCATATTAGAGCACTAATAATATCACATGCTTCAAAACTTTTTTTTTCTGTCATATCAGCTATAATTTACTTCACAGTAAGAAAATAAGTTTGAAGTATCAGACTTTCAAACTGGAGCTTCATATATTATTTTTTATATTTATAATATTCATCTTCTAAAATTAAATTAAGTAAAACTTCATTTTAATTAAATTTAAATGATAATAATTCATTAAATTAAAAAATTACATTGAATAAAAAAAGAACATTTAATAAAAAATACATTAATTGAAAAAATAAGAAAAATTATATTTGGCTTTGATCTCTTTTTTTTCATCTCTCAAAAAGCATATGTTTGAATCCTGTTAACATATCAATGTTCGTTTCCATTATTTCGACCTCTTCCTTATCTTGCCTTCGTTTCTCCCTCTCTTCTTCTCTAATATTGAACAAAAAAAGTTGTTCAACCATTACCCGACCGATATCGTTCAGAGAAGAAACGGAGCTGGACCCTCCAGAATTCGAGGTAATGGATTTTGCCTTCTTCCTTTCAATCGGCTGTGGAATGAGGTCCTTGTCATCAGAGTCGTCTAGGTTGAAGGGGGGCCTTTATTTCGAAGAGCCAATAGTCTCATCAGCCTCAACCTCAGCGGAGGAGTCGAGGTTGAGTTGAGTTGTTGTCATTTAGGTGAACGACTTAAAATTTTCCAAAGATCGACGAAGACCTTTCCTTGGTGTCCATCGTCTAATACCAAGGCGGTGACTTGCCGCAAAACATCGACATCGTTCGTCCCACTCTTTTGGGACCGAGAGCATTCCTCGTAAACTCCTTAAACTATCGAACTTTACGGTTGATGTGGACGCATTTGGAAGTGACTTGGTCTCGGGTTCGGCAAGAGGCGTCCTTGTTCATCATCGCAAAGAACTTCTCCTCAATACGATCCCACATCACATCCTTTGTTGTTCGGAACCTTTATGAACTATATAATCCAGTAAATTTTTTAATACAAATATATAAAAATGAACATATATACAGTATATATTAAAAACATGTAAATTTTACCAACAATAGGTAGCTCGGAGACGTCAACCCAAGCGGACGCCAACGATTCTTCCTCCGGTGTCTACATTTGAATGGATTGTGCCACCTCGGTCATCGACTTGTCGCCCTTCGGTTTGTGACTCTTCCGGCGTGCACTTTTTTTTGGTGTACTTGGTTCCGGTTGAGTCTCTGGAACTGACTCGTGTCTTAGAGATTCACCGAGGTTTGCATATTGTACATCGACGAATTACTGCGTATGATGGGAAAATCTACATCGCTTTCTCGTTTGGCTCGAGATCGGACGAAAGAACGTTAAAATCGAAAGAATCCATGTTAAAAAAACTTGAATATTTTTTTTAAAGAAAGAAGGAGATATTTGATTTGGGGTGTGTCTTGAAGTTTAAAAAAATAAATTGAATTTAAAGAGCGATGAGAAGAATTTTTAAAAAACCCTTCCAACAGTTGACACATCTGAAAATTCAAGTCCAACCCACGTCAGAATAACAAGAGACGGGGGCGGTGTTTAAGGGCTGATCTAATCATTTCTATCTAACCTGATTTGATATTATTAGTATTAATGGTATACCTTGTACATTTTTTATCCGATTTGATAAGATATAAGATAAAATATTTTTTGTCACCACTTATTTTACAAAATTTTAGGCGTAATTTTTATGTTTTAATTTTCTTATATATTAATTTTTAAATTAAATATATGTGAAGATTTAAAATCTTACTTAGATAAATATGAGACTTAGGGAGTTTAATACGTAATAGGACGTAAGTAATAAGAACAAGTTGAAGAAAAATATCCCTCTCCTTATGGGAACTTGTATTATTTTGACATGACAATCATGCTATAGGCACCATATGTCATTTTAGTAATACCCCGTCACATGTTTGATACTCTCTCCGTATTAATCTTTTCCCTAGATTTGACTTGACACGATTTTAAGTAAAGTGAAATGCAGGCGGTTATAATTTCTATAAGAGAAAGAGAATTGATATGGACCATATACTAGTTTCCTTAAAAAGAAAATAGAACAAAATTTTAGAACAACCTAAATAAAAAAAGAAGGAAGATAATAATGAGACAAAGAAAGTATATCAAAAGTGACTCGGATATCAAAATTACACTGTTGACCCGTGGAATCGGCCCGTTTCAAACAAGCCGGGTTAGGTCCGGTTTCAATTTTAAAATTTTGAAAACCTGTTCCGGTCTGGACCGTTTAAAAAAAACAAGTCGAGTCCGGTTTATACAAATCTTGACTCGGACCGACCCGTGCCCACCCCTAGTTCATACAATATAATGTTCTGTTCGTAATATTAATGGTTCTTATTCTCTTTAAATGTCTCTTCTTTCCACCCCACCACTTCGTGCTTCATTCCAAAACACCGGCTGACAACAATACTGTTTTGTGGAGAGGGCATGGGTGCTAGAGTGGGGGAAAAGGGTTGGAGAAGGGGTTAGAGGAAGTATAAATTTTCGATTTTTTACATCCTTGATTATTGGTTTTCTTATATTATATTCCATCATGGTCTTTTAGATATATTTAAAAGTGAATGAATATAGAAAGCTATAATGGACACTTAATATAAAGAAATATTTGTACTAAATAGCACTGAAACTGAAGTCATTTCCCTAAATAGCACTTAAACTGTTTTATTTTTCTAAATAGCACTTAATAGTGTCCATAATGTCTAGTGATGACGAACATTTACTTGAATAATGACTAATGGATAATGACTAAATGTGCTACATTGGAAAAAAAACACATGTGATGCTATTTAGGGAAAGTCATTATGTTTTCGTGCTATTTACGTAAATTCCCCTAATATAAAATGAAGGAAATACTTATTAGTAGTTCTAATATTATATTAATAGAAAAAAACTCTTTGTTTTTCACGTGGACTCATTATTTGTTGTTTGTATTTATGAATTATGATCTTTGAATATGTACTTGTTTTTTTAAAGAAAGTTATGCTTTTATTTCAATATTTGAATTCTGAATGTTTGATTTTCTACAATAATTTTGTAAGTTCGTGGGGGCACAACGGAAATCACCAATTAAGAACTATGCAAACAAATCAACCAACTGTGTTGCAGAGAAGACGCTGCAGCTCTGTCCAGTAACAGATGATGGACAGTTTGCTATAACACTTCTCTGTCACAAACACACACAGAAGCAGATGACGCAGAGAGCGTTACAGCGCCTACTGGGCAAAATGCTGTAACTGTAAAGAGCGTAAAAAATGACACCAGATATGTTTACGTAGTTCGGAGAAACTCTCCTAATCTGCGGGGCTCACGTCCGTGTAATAGCCCTCCACTAAATCACTAGATGCAAGTTACACCGGTACATAACAACATGATGAGACACCCTTCTCCGAATTGCTATGACAAAACTTCTAATCTAGGATTTCTAACCCGAACTCTGTTCAGATCCGCTTCGGCTATCACATCTCCACCGAGATCACGAGGACAAACGTGTTGGCAGCCCTCTCCTTAAGCTCTAGTTCATCTTCTGGACATTACGATCTGTTTGGCGTTGAAGATCTCCTCCTTCATGTAGATCGTAACTTTCTTCACGCAAGGGAAGCTCCGGGACGCGACGCGAATGCTCTACATCAGCGTATATTCTTTGTTTTCCCTCTCAATCGCTCCAAGTAATTCCCAGGGACTTGCTGCGTTTTTATAGGCCACTCTTAACACAATCCTAGTAGGAATAGGATAGTAGAAGTTGGCTTGAACTCTACTTCCTTAATCTTGATCCACAAGTAGCCTAAAGAGTTGGGATTCCTTAGCATGTACAGCTGGAGATATTATCATGTAATCACAATCCCAATAGGTCTCTAATTAGATTGTAGCTTAAAATCCCGTGCTCAGACCTCTGATCCCGAACAGTGTGTTGCAGCATCGTGCTGTAGCATCTTCTGTGTCAACCTCGAAAACTGCAGCAACTCTAGAAGTCTAAATAAAATAAACCTCTCCTAACAAATAGAGGTTTCTACCTAGTAAAACATCTAACAAATATGGATTCTATTTTGCCAAAATATTAGCCAACACCCTGGAACCAACAATCTCCCCTTTGGCAATTTTTGGCAAAATACATCGTGCACCATGCGCATAAAAGATTAAAGCATCTTTTAAGAACTAAGCCTTTTCTCCCCCTTTTTGACACAAAATATGCCAATCTCATTAAGGGTAAAAAAGAAAAGTAATACCAAGTTCTTTTAAGAGCATACAACAATCACAAGCGCAAAACAAAAAAAATCTACCATTACAATCCATGCACGTACTTCCCATTTGAATGTGCTGGAGCTTCATCCTTTTTTGTAATTTACTCCCCCTCAGGATTTGCATCAATACCACATCTTGCTTCAAAAAGTGTGCTAATTCTTTAAGAGATCACCATGATTTGTTGCAACGAACCACTCACAGATCAAGCTAATAACTTAAGCTTAACCGCTCTGATACCAATTGTAAGTTCGTGGGGGCACAGCGGAAATCACCAATTAAGAACTATGCAAACAAATCAACCAACTGTGTTGCAGAGAAGACGCTGCAGCTCTGTCTAGTAACAGATGACGGACAGTCTGCTATAGCACTTCTCTGTCACAAGCACACACAGAAGCAGATGACCCAGAGAGTGTTACAACGCCTACTGGGCAGAATGCTGTAACTGTAAAAAGCGTAAAAAATGACACCAGATATGTTTACGCAGTTCGGAGAAACTCTCCTAATCTGCGGGGCCCACGTCCGTGTAATAGCCCTCCACTAAATCACTAGATGCAAGTTACACCGGTACATAACAACATGATGAGACACCCTTCTCCGAATTGCTATGACAAAACTTCTAATCTAGGATTTCTAACCCAAACTCTGTTCAGATCCGCTTCGCCTATCACATCTCCACCGAGATCACGAGGACAAACGTGTTGGCAGCCCTCTCCTTAAGCTCTAGTTCATCTTCTGGACATCACGATCTGTTTGGCGTTGAAGATCTCCTCCTTCATGTAGATCGTAACTTTCTTCACGCAAGGGAAGCTCCGGGACGCGACGGGAATGCTCTACATCAGCGTATATTCTTTGTTTTCCCTCTCAATCGCTCCAAGTAATTCCCAGGGACTTGCTGCGTTTTTATAGGCCACTCTTAACACAATCCTAGTAGGAATAAGATAGTAGAAGTTGGCTTGAACTCTACTTCCTTAATCTTGATCCACAAGTAGCCTAAAGAGTTGGGATTCCTTAGCATGTACAGCTGGAGATATTATCATGTAATCACAATCCCAATAGGTCTCTAATTAGATTGTAGCTTAAAATCCCGTGCTCAGACCTCTGATCCTGAACAGTGTGTTGCAGCATCGTGCTGTAGCATCTTCTGTGTCAACCTCGAAAACTGCAGCAACTCTAGAAGTCTAAATAAAATAAACATCTCCTAACAAATAGAGGTTTCTACCTAGTAAAACATCTAACAAATATGGATTCTATTTTGCCAAAATATTAGCCAACACCCTGGAACCAACAAACTTAACATGGTATGGTATATTGGTATTGCATCAATTGATTTTGAGATTTATCATGTACCAATGTCGTACCATTTTAATAATCTCGATTCATGATAGGTTTTGATAGTATGACAGACCGTCACGAATAGACCGTCACGAATATACAACTCCTTTAAGAGGGTGTTTTGCAATGCGGTGTTTTTTAGAATTTAGCTTCTACTTTAAGTGGTAATTATTTAATTCTGTTTGGTATTCAAACTTCTGCTTTTTTTTACTATCAATGTGTACATTGAATACCATTTTGGAGAAGCAATTATTTGCTGCTCTACTTTCAACTTTTGTGAAAATTACTTTATCCACAAGTTAATCACTTTCAAATACCCTCCAAGAGAACTAATAATACACGTAACGCTCCAGGGGCTTTTTTCCGATTTTTAACACTTTTGGCGTTAAATACCGTCCCCAGCGGTGTTAAAGGGGCGTTTCTTCAAGTGCGTCAAAGGTTTAACGCACGAAAAGGTATGACCTGCCTTCCAACAGCTCTTTTAGCCGTTAAACAAAAAAACTTCTATAAATTCATTATTTTTTTAAAAATCAAACACACACACATCTCTCTATCTCTCTCTCTTCTTCAAATAAAAAAAAAATCTTTAAATTTCTTTGCTCTGTGTTAACATGAATCCCTTCGATTTTAACGTTTCTTCGTTCGGTCTCAAGCCAAACGAGGAAGCGATGTAGATTTTTCAATCATATGCCGGTAATCCGTCAATGTATGATACGCAAACCACGGTGAATCTCCAAGACTCGGAGTCGGTTCCAGAGATTTAACCGGAAGCAAGTGCACCAAAAAAAGTGTACGCCGGAAGAGTCACAAACTGAAGGGCGACAAGTCGATGACCGAGGCAGCACGGTCCATTCAAAAGTGGACCCCGGAGGAAGAATCGTTGGTGGCGTCCACTTGGGTTGACGTCCCCGAGCATCCTATCGTTGCTAAATTTTATTTATTTTTTAATGTATATTGTATATATGTTATTTTTTATATGTTTGTATTAAAAATTTTTTCCTTCAAATATATATTTTGTAAAGGTTGCAAGCAAACATAGGATGCGATGTTGGATCGTATCAAAGAGAAGTTCTTTGCGGCGATGAACAAGGACGCCTCTGACAGAACCCGTGACCAACTCACTTCCAAATAGGGCCACATCAACCTTAAAGTTTGAAAATTTATTGGAGTTTATGAGGAGTTTTCTCAGTCCCAGAAGAGCGATACGAATGATGCTGATGTTCTGCGGCAAACCACCACCCGCTATCAAGATGATGGATACCAAGGCAAGGTCTCCGTCGATCTTTGGAGAACTTTAAGTCATTCATCAAAATGGAAACAACTCAACAAGCCCGAGCCCGGATCGTCAAAGAAAAGATCCCCCGCCGAGGTTGAGGCCGATGAGACTATCGGCTCTTCGGAACAAAGGCCTCCCTTCAACGTCGACTACTCCGACAACGAGAACCCCATTCTACCGCCGATCAGAAGGAAGAAGGCAAAATCAATTGCCTCAGGTTCTGGAGGATCCGGCTTTGTTTCTTTTCACGATGAAATCGCCCGGGCAATGGATGAATATTTGCGGGTGTTCAATATTAGGGACGAAGAGAGGGAGAAGCAAAGGAAGAGATCGAAATAATGGAAACCGACCTTGATTCATTATCGAGTTTCAAACGTATGCTTTACGAGAGAAGAGAAAAAAAGATAAAGGCCAAATATAATTTGTCTCAGTTTTTTTATTAGGTCCCGTTTGGTACATGGAATTCAAACTATGGAATTAGAATTGAAGACTTCAATTCCAATTCTGGTGTTTGATAGCACAAAATTTATGTGGATTTGGAATTGATAGTGCAAAAAATGAATTGAAATTGACAGAATTCAATTCTATGGAATTGAATCCCATGAAATTTCAATTCCAATTCAATTCCAATTCTACCAATTCCTTATACCAAACGGACCCTTAATGTACTCGTATTTGCTACCAAATGGGTCTCTCTTTTTAAGTACACGTGTAGATGAATCTGTCACTTACTGACAGTAATGCTAGTCAGATTCCAGTTTCTACCCTTCAGAGTCCCTAATTTCATTTTTGGGGTTATCCGTTATCATTTACCAAAACCCCTCATCCACACCAATCAGTCCTGACCTTGCGCTTTCCCTTGTCATGGCCGGAAGGAAGAGACGGCGCTTGAGATCGTGAGTTTTTCTCTTTTTTTCCGTCAAATTATTCATTTTATGTCTTGATTTTACATGTTTTCTGGCAATCCTCTGGTTCGGATTTTCGTTAGAATGTTTAAGGATTTACTGATTCGTTGTTGGATTGCAAGTTTTGGCTTAGATCAATCTTAATTCGGGCATATTGGTTCCGAGAATGTAATTTAGCCATGAAATTTGAATACTTTGCAGCTATTTATCGTTCATTTTCTGTGAATACAAAAAAAAAAGGTTCAATCTTGGGGTTTCATCTTCGATTTTACTTTTCACGCATTCATGTTTTGTTTCTAATTACAGAGTACTTATTAAAATTCAAGATTTGTGTTGTGAATTGAATTGTGCTCAATTTCGTCTATATATTTATGCATTTGTAGTTCTCTGAAGCTCCATTTACATATTTGATCAGCAAAGTCAAATGAGCTTGCTTGGATTTTCCTTTTTCATTGTCAAATGTCACTTGGGGTTATTCTCTGAATTGAAAACTCAAAACTGTCGTTTCATTTCTAACTACATACTAGAATCCACAATGCGCTTCATTCCTCTAGTGTTTTTTTCCCACTTCTGAGCTAATTAACTGTCAGGATTGGCATTTTTAGATTAGTGGAGACAGCCACCGTGGAAAGAGCAGGAGTTGGGGGAGTTCACGAGAATGAACACTCTTTGCAACACGTGGGGTTTGAACTTCCAAGAGAGCTTCTGGAAATAATTATCGGTCACTTGAACTTGGCGGATAACGTCCGTGCTTCTGCTGTTTGCAAACTATGGCATTCTGTGGCCCACTCTGTCCGGGTTTCCAACAGACCCCCTTGGCTTATGTTTCTCCCAAAGTTTGGTGACTTGGTAGAATTCTATGACCCTTCATTGCGCAAGACTTATGCTGTTGAGTTGCCTGAGCTGCGTTCCTCAAGGCTTTGCTACACCAAGGAGGGATGGTTGCTACTGTACAAGCCCAGAACGCAACATGTTCTTTTCTTCAATCCTTACTCTCGACAGTTAATCAGCTTACCCAAATTAGATATGGCATATCAAATTGTTGCATTCTCTGCTGCTCCTACGTCTCCCAAGTGCATTGTATTTACTGTTAAGCATATCAGCCCCACTTTGGTTGCTATTAGCACCTGTTTCCCTGGAGCAACTGAATGGACAACTGAGCATTACCAGAACCGCCTGCCGTTTGTGAGCAGTATATGGAATAAATTGGTTTTCTGCAATGGTCTGTTCTATTGTCTGAGTTTGACAGGATGGCTAGGGGTTTATAACCCAGATGAGCATTCTTGGGTTGTTCGAGTTGTTCCTCCGCCGAGATGCCCGGAGAATTTCTTTGTCAAGAACTGGTGGAAGGGGAAATTCATGGCTGAACATGACGGGGACATTTATGTCATATATACTTGCTCTAGTGCCAACCCGGTGATATACAAGTTAGACCAAGTTAATAGAGTGTGGGTAGGGGTGCAAACACTTAATGGTTTGACACTGTTTGCAAGTTTCTTGTCATCCCAAGCAAGGTCAGATATCCTTGGGTTGATGCGGAATAGCGTTTACTTCTCTAAAGTTCGTTTCTATGGGCGGCGATGCATATCGTTCTCTCTGGACCACGACAGGTACTATCCCCGAAAACAGTGCCATGATTGGGGGGAACAAGATCCATTTGAGAGCATCTGGATTGAACCACCCGAAGACCTTTCAGCCTTTGATTGAGCAACTTGTTGGCACAGGTAACAACGTTACGGTTATTATGCAAAGTTCTTGTTTGTGCATTCTTTTGATCTTTTGTTTCTACTATTGCTCGGTATTGTTCATTCGTTAGTAGTCTTAGCATGTTTCATACACGTAAGTTACAGAGCAACCTGTGTGTATTCTATATCATAATCACACAATAGTCTATGTATTAGTGCAATTCTCCTGTCCCAAACCAAAATATTTAGTAAATTTGTTTGCGCGTGCACATGCTATTAGTGAGTGCATGTAACATATACTCACTTCTCCTGAAAGGACTGTTTGAGGTGCAACCTTTGAATTTGGGTAATGTACAACCATCAATGGAGCTAAGAAGAGTCATAATGACATGTTTTTTAGCTTTTTGTAATAATGGACCTAATCAAAATGACACATTAAACTTTCCTTGCTTCTTACTTTATGTGCGGTAAATGCAACAATGCATCAAGGGTCTAACGGAAATAGCCTCTCTGTTTCTCTCTGTTTTCTCTAGCACTATGTTTGGTTCAAGGAATTTGGAAGGAAAAGAAAATGATATTCTCTCATTTTCCTCACCAAAATGGGAGGAATTTGGTTTTCCCTCCACTTAGTACATTTGTCTTCTCATTTTTTTTTCTTTCCACTTTTCCTTTCTTTTCCTCTCTAACCAAACAAAAAAACTATTTTCTACTTCATTTTCTTTTCCCTTTCAAATTCCTTGAACCAAACATAGGGTAGGTGTAAGATTGTGTGCATCTTGACCCCACCCCTCCCCCAGATACCCCAACAGTGTTGGGATAATACTGGGGTTGTTGTTGTTGTTGTACAACCCAATCATGAATCTCACATATAATTTAGATTTATTTGTTGGTTGAACAATATTGATCATAGAGTATTTAACTTGCTTGTAACTCATTTTTGGTGAATTACCAGAAATTTTAGCTTCAACTGCTTCATTGAATGAAATAAAACTTTACTGGGATAAAACAAGCTTTTGAAATATGAAACGTTTTTGGACCGAGGGAGTAATAACTAATACCTCAAAACCTTCTTGGCATGATTGTGTCAAAATTCAAATGATTATTAATGAAGTTTAATAAACTCTTAAATTGTACTATAGATGATATACTTTATTAATGGAAGCTTTAGTGGATTGAAGGAGGCAAGTTAGACACACTTGCAAATGACCCTTGGTTGAAAAGTCCTCTGAGCCATGGATCATATCATCATCAGTAGCATCTGAATCCCAACTAGCTAGGGTTAGTGTAAGTATAGTACAGCTATACTATAAACCACTATAGAATGATCAAATCACAGAGGAACACCTTGGGTCTATATATACAATCCTGTAGCTTCCTCCATTAAAATATCAGATAGTATACTCTCTCTACTCTGTTTGTACTAATCATCTCTGTCTTACACTTAATAGTATGAAGTAAAATCCATTCCATTGAGAATTATATTCGTCTGCAGGTACCGACGTATTTATGTGATGCTTGATAATTATGAAGGGCTTTCTTTTCCACATGCATTTCTACGTCAACATTCCACACTCAAGGACTCTGCATTCTCACGGAAATCAAACAGGAAAGCGGAGATGTAATTGGCATGAATGAAGGTGTTCTTGAGATATTCAATGCAGCGAAGAACATGGGCTTGAAACCTGGTTGCAGGCCTGTACTCTAATTTGGTTTGCCGTTTTTGCCTCTTTCAACCAGCACGTAGAGGTAATATCTTCTTCTTATAGCTTTAAAACTTGTACCGTGTTAATGTACTCTACTTGAGCTTCTTCTTCTTCTTTTATATTTCATGGACTTCTGATTAATAAGAAATTTGATATATTTTCCCCTGTTAATATGTTAAGTTCCTGTCTATTGTCAAATCTGCAATCCGAATCCTTTACGAACTTGTAATATGTAATGTCTTACAGTTGTGATTGTCATAATGTTTTATGATTCTCTCTTTAAGAGTGTTTGCTTATTTCTTCCTTACTAATCATGATCATTATGTGGTGTTCACCTCGAAAATTATGTGGTTTTCCTGTTTTTCTTTCTCAGGCGGTTTAAATAAAATATGAAATTGTCTTTAAATGTGAAGAGGAATAATATTATTAACTACACAATTCTTTATTAAAAAGAAATGAGAACTTTATTTTCTGTCGTTCCACAAATGAAAGTGAAACTTATTTTGGGAAAGTACTACATCTGATCTTCGTCCACTTTTGTTTTGGCACAAATACCAAGACAAAGGGTAAAAAAGTCACAAATGCCCGATATGTGATCTTCAAATCTCACAAAAACCAAACCCTTCAACTCCATCGCCCCTTCCCAATCACGCACACTCTCGCTTCTTGAAACGGAGCTATCGTCCCACCCTTGCTCTGCCACCATCCCATCCCATCGTTGGAGGAACTTGATGGATCTAGTTCCTTGGAATTGGCAGGTTGTGATATAGGAGTATAGTGAGTAATTAGATAAAAGTTGTTAGGGTTATTGAGGTTGTTAATAGGTTGTTAATATGCTGTTGGATGTATATAAGCATGTCTTGACTCTTGAGCTGTAATCCTCATCAAGAAAAACAATCCAATTCTTTCCAAATCTATATCTCTTTCTATTTCTCTCCCTCTCTCTTTAACTCTTGGTTTCATCAAGAAACACAATCGAATTCCTCCCAAATCTATCTCTCTTTCTATTTCTCCCACCATCTCTCTTGAACTCTTGGTTTCATCTTCTTCTCTGAGACAGAAATTGGAATTTTGTTCGTCTCCTATAGCAATGCATATCTTTCCATAACATATTGGCACGATTGATGGATTAGGGAAGAGGACGAGGGCGCTCATTGGATCTTACCGATGAATATTGCAATGACCTAGGATAGCATCAAACGAACCATTTCGTGTTGAAGGTGATATATCTCCGTCGAGTCCTTAATTACCGGTGCAGAATGACAAAGTCAAAATGACCTACGGCTTTTTTCATTGGATTTGCTGTTGGGTAGCTAAGCATATGTGGGGGG